CGAAGGACCTCGTGGTCCACAATGTCGTCAGCCTTCTTATTCACTGATATCTGTGACCATGAAAGGGTGAATTTGACGCTGTGGAACTCGGGGACCAACAGGTTTCCCCCCCAAAACTCACATTCATTGACTTTTTTTCCTTTTTCGATGCCTTCTTGATGGTCTTCTTCATCGAATCCTGAAACAGGTATCACTCCGCATGTAAAGAAAGTGGATTGTAAAAGGTCGAAACGCGAACTTTCCGTTGCGCACGGTGCATATAACATCCAGCACTGAGTCTTCAACAATCTCGATGGCAACGTCGGGTCGGAGCAAATCCTGAATTCGTTCTTTCATTGCTCGTGCTTGAGGACCTCCTTGTGTTCGTCCCTCATCGTCACCCTCCTCCCCTTTCAGCTTCACTTGCAGCCTCTTCAAGTTATCGAACGCCACAGGCGCTAGGCCGATCACAACAAGCTGATCTGCCATGCTTGGACCTTCCTGATCAGCAGGAACAAGAGCAGAGACGGGTTGAACGAGCGTGGTTGAGAATAAGGGTTGATGCGTCGGAGTTTTGTTTCTGGTTGATGCGTTAAAGCAGCTCGTTACAAATGGAAGGGTTTGCGCTCGAATCGACCACACTAAAAAACCTTGCAAACCTTGGGATTAGGGCGTGGGATCTGAAACTCTGGATGATGTTGGAACATGCTGCTCGAACGTCGGCGAACGGGACCCATTCTCACGAAGCGTATCGAATGCTCCCAAATTCCAACAGTGAACATTCGCATAAGGATGCAGAGGAACACGGTCGCCAACACATCTTGAGCAACGGCCTGTCATCGCAACGACTGTTCATTATCAGCTAATGAACCCTTCCCTTCGCGAAATGTGTGCACGACGAAAATCGACGACGTCGGAGATCTTCTTACAGTCGCATCAGGTCGCATACCCGAAATTCAGACACCATCCGAATTTCAAAATCTGTCACGCCGTTCGACTTTTGGGGTTCTGAATTGGGAGTTCCACGCCTTTATGCCACGCACCAGCACAAGTTTTCGCAGCCCACAACAGCTGCTTCGTTCATTTTCTCCAGTTTAGGCCAAGTTTCAAGGGCATTTGAGAACGCTCTGTTGGAGATACTTACCTGCTTTTCCTGGTGATCTATGGCACTTGTTCCACGCTCGCGGGAGATTGCGGAGAGCTGCCTAGATTTTCTCAACATTGAGCTCGTTGCGACGTACGCGCGGCAGTCCAACTTGCGACCAGAGCTCGCTGGTCGTCGAATTGAGGCCATTGGCTTTCAAGTGGGTCAACAGCTGGTCGAAAGGTAGGTGCCTCAAATCATTCTGTAAAGGAGGTTGAGCGGCGAAACCTAGGCGTGTAATTTATCGCTGATGCAATCGACGATCATGAGGGATACGGACTTATCAGTAATAAGTGGCCATCTGTCACCGAGAGAGTAAGGCCCAGAGTAGAGGCCAGTATTGAGCATGCTGCGCGGGGGTTGGCTGTGCTCCCCGCGTCTCCTTCCGACAGTATATCACCTTTCAGATCACCTGGAGCTGTGCAGTTCTTGACGAATGGTCAAGTAAATGGAATGTTAGGTATTATCCAGGCTGATAGAGTTAGAATGCGGTCATGTTGATCCGAATGCTTCATCTACAACAGCCTTTCAGTTTATTTGAGACCCTCCTCCTGGTCCTTCTCAACTGTCGTTGCATCCCGCCCTTATCCCAGGTTCACCAAGGACAGAGCCCGATTCACAGATCACTTGGATGTGATAAAGTTCATCTGCAAGGACTTTTGGGCCGAGGTGTTTAAGAAGCAAGTGGACAACCTCAAGACCAACCACAGAGTGAGAATAAGGCGCATGGCCAGCAGCAGCAAGGCATTTTTGGCAGAGGTTGCAAGCTTTAGCCGATGCAGGGACAGACAGGATAGTTGGGTCGTGAGGTGCAAGACATTAGGTGGACAGTAACGGAGAGAACAAAGCACAGTCATTACGGGAACAGTGCAAAGTTGCAATTGTCGTAAGACACCAGCACAGCAGGTAAAATGCACTTCTGATCCTGTGCAAAAAGCATAGTCGATCTAGATTGCAACACACAGTCAGCTCAGGTCATAAGACTCAGCCTGCCCTCTTCACAGTCAGCCCACAGCACTGCATACTTGGTACAGGGTTGAGGCACAGGCGGCGTCTCAGGCAGAGTCGCCGCACACAAACGTTATGCGTGCAATGCAATGCATGTTCAGCAGTGCTTGTTGCTGTCTTGCTGAGGTGCCGAGGAAGCTGATGAATGTCCCCCTTTTCAGCCGTGGATGAAACTTTAGTCCCATCAATTTTCCCCTATCCTTCGTTATTCTCGGGCTTGCTACTCATTGCCAGTTTTCTTTGCATGTGCCTAGTCCTAGCTTAACCTATCCCTCCTTCCTTTGCGTCCTTTCGTTACCCTTCCAGGGAGTATTCGTTCTGCAAGACAACAAGTTCAGATGGCTCACGAGAATATCAGCAGATGCTCCATCGTATGACGCGCTCACGCCTCTTCCAAACCCTAGTCCCAATCTTCGATCGCCGACGGAGCGCATGGCTGGAGCTGGAGGGGCAGTGGCAGGCAGCATGAAGGCGTCTGCTGTTGCAGGGCAGTTTCTGTATCTGCCATGTGGGCTTATAAAGGGGGCGCTTACCAACCTTGGAGTACCATGCACAGTCTCGGCGGAAGTCACTACACTTCCTGGTTGTAAGTGCAATAACATTGCTGACACTTTGATGAAGTGATTTGGATGGTCACGGGCGTGATTGAGGTGTGTGCTGGGTGCTGTGGATGTCATGCGGATTCTGTTTTGAGAAATCAACTTTATTGTGTCTGAACCGAACCCATGTTTTTCACATGCCTTTCTGCCCTTGTCAGGTTCGTTCACAGTGAGAATCAAGTCATGAGCACTACCTAGAGAATGTATGCGGTGCGGATCCGTTGTTAATTTGTACGGTATTATTCTCTTGTCTAGTTGGTAGTTAATCATGTACATGGTTGTGTCATGACTGAAGCTGTTGCTAGAAAACCAGTATAAGAAGTACACGAACTTTTTATTGTACCAGTGTTTCTCAAGGGAGGTTGGTAATAACGAGTGCACGAGCGCGCCCTGCAGGGCTTCCCTTGGGATTGGCTTCAGGATTTGAGCGCGCACGAGTTCCTGTCATTGATAACAGGGAGTCCAGGACATTTCCGCATTCACGAAGCCATATCATGGGGAAGTACCATATAGAGTGGGGCTTCAACATCGCATTCAGCTTGTTTTGAAGGGAGCTTGCTTTCATTGGTGGAGGAGATGATGGCCGAAGCAAGATCCAAGAATGTCGTAACACCTCAGGTTCCTGGGCATCAGTCATCACTAGAAAAGCTTCGAGTAGCTTGGGTTGTCATCGGTTACGCGCTAAGTTCCAGTTTGCTGGCCATTGTTAACAAGGTATGCCTCCCGAACGATTTCAGTACCTCTTGATGCATTCTGAAAAGCGTCTGACCAATTTTCCGTTTCCAGTATGCAGTGACTGTTTTCCCCTTCCCAGCAATTCTCACCGCGCTTCAGTACCTAGTGTGCACCATTGTTACGCTCGTGCTGGGAAGATTGAAGGTGTTGGAGCATGATTCTCTCAGCCTGGAAAAGATTGTCAAGTTCTTACCAGCAGCAGCGACGTTTTACGTTGCCATATGGACAAATACTCAGCTCCTCAAACATGCCAACGTTGAGACATTCATTGTGTTCAGATCTTCTACACCGCTGCTTGTTGCGATAGCAGACTCAGTGTTCATGGGGAGATCATGGCCATCTGGTTTCACATTTTTGTCCTTGCTGACGATATTTGGTGGTGCTGTTGGCTACGTTTTCTTTGACACTGGATTCACTGTCACAGCGTACGCGTGGGCTTGGGCATATCTGATCGTCATCACCTTCGAGGTGAGTGTCTCTGCTCTGCTTTCATTACGCAATGGAATTGCGTGGCCTTGTTCATTATCGAGCTTTTGGTGCAGATGGTCTACATCAAGTCAGTCGTTATGAGCATAGGGCTCAATACATGGGGTCTGGTGCTTTACAACAATATGCTAGCCCTGGTAAGACTCGGTGCACCACAATCGTGAAAGTGAGCTCTCCACACCCTTGCTAATACTGTTCTCTGATACGTTGTGCAGATATTCTTCCCTCCTGCACTGATTGGTATGAATGAGCCAAGTCAAATTGCTGCCTATGGTCTGTCCCGGATATTCAGCATAGGGACTCTCTTCCCTGTTGCACTCTCCTGCATTTTTGGCCTAACCATAAGCTTCTTCGGCTTTGCTGCACGGAAGGCAGTCTCAGCAACTGCTTACACTGTTGTTGGAGTCACAAACAAGCTTCTCACTGTCCTCATTAACATGCTGATATGGGACAAGCATGCCCAAGCGCCAGGATTAGTGGCCCTCCTCGTATGCATATTTGGTGGAGTGTTATACCAGCAATCAGTTACCCAAACGCAGCCAACAAAGACCATCCCAGCTGACATCGAGTCTGTCCCTCTGAAGAGCATTAAGTCAGAATCTGGTGACGGCAAGCCTGTTGTACGAGTTCAGTCTGCTGAGGCAGCTTCAGAAGAATAGTGGATGGCAGAAAAGGTGGATATGAGTCAGTCTGTGTTGGGAGTAGGGTACGGTAGATGTACCATAGTGCAATGTACCAATCTCAGTTTCTACATGCTCCAGAATGTTATATTTTCAAGCTTCAAGATCACAGTACCATGCATGGTAGGGTGGCTCTGACCTGAGCCCCAAATAGCTTCAGGTTGCTCCAGGCTTTGCGACAAGCTTCAGTCTCAAGCTCTTCCACACACTGTTATTTATAACTTGAACCAGAACACAACCAAGAACACCACAGCAACCATTTGTCTAAAAAAACATACTACTAACACTAGGAAAATCACAAAGATGTGGGGAGAAACGAGTCGATTGAGGTATACCTTACATGACACAAGTGATGCACTCCTCCACACATCACCCTGTCTTGGTGCAGGAGCACTGGCAGCTCATGGGGTTGCTGGCACTAGCACAGTTGCAATCGCACCTCATCTTCACGCTGCCTCCAGTTGGCGGAGGGGGGGGGGGAGTTCCCACCCCGCCACCACCAGCACTAGGCAGGGCACTCTGCAGGACGCACTTGCTCTTCACGCGGTCCCAGTTAAGCTGCACCAGGAACTTCATCCCATTCAGCCCCACCACATTGTACTTGTAGCTCTGCCCGCTCTGCTGGTAACCAGTCTTTGTGGTGCCATATTCCCACGAGCATTTGTCCGCATTCTCCTCGCCGTCGTCAAACCACCCCGCATTCGCATCAGGGTCGGTGGCAGCTTCGGTGAGCTCATGCGCGAGCGTGGAGATAGTAGCGTCAATACCCGGCTTCCCGTTGGGTGACGTGCTCTCTACCCCGCACGAGTCGGGGCACTGCCCACGGTGCCCCACAAAGGCATAGCGAAGAGGCGAGGAGTTGATTGAGTCTTCCGTGTGCCAGCCGCAGTACTCTGTGCAGTAGCCTTTGAGCGTGACGTCTGAACTGGTGAGCAGCACATAAATTCCGTGAGGGTCCAGCGCAAAGGGCTTGCCCGCACCGACTTTGCTCTTCACAACTGCATGAACGGCACAGGACGGGTTAACGGTTGGGGAGGAGTGAGGGTTGGGGGGGTTGATAAGGAATGGATGCACCCATGCAAGGTGCAGAGGCAAGGGGAGAATGAGTGGCGCACATGGGGGTGGAACGGAATGAATGGTCGGTAAGGAGCAGCACGTACCGGCGAACACGTCATTGTCCGTAAGCTGCTATTTGATTGGCTCAAAACAGAATGAGAGCAGAGTTCTGAGTCAACTAAAAAAGGAATGATTGGCCAGGAGGGAGCAGCAAGTACTGGCAGGCACATCATTGCCTGTCAGCTGCTTCTTAGTCGGCTCAAAACAGAAGGAGAGCAGAGTTATTGAGTCGACTCGAAAAGGAATGGGTGGTCGGGAGGGAGCAGCACGTACTGGCGATCACGTCTTCGTCGGTCAGTTTTTTTCCGCGTGAATAGTTGTCACTCACTGTCCCCGCGAGACGAACCTGCATTCAGGCAGACAGCCGGCAGCATGAGGAACGTGGATAAGGGAATGAATATGGACGCAGCCGAATAGCAAACACCACAGAAAGCAGCAGATGAGTGACTTGCTCCTCAATCTTCCTCTCTCACCTTGGAACTGACATTCTTCTTCCCGCCAGAGCCTGACTGGTAGTAAGCGGTACTAATGGCCCACCACCCCTTCACACTCGCGTCCGCCGCGCTGCCCTGGCTGCCCGAGTCGCTGCTCAGCGCCTGCACGAACGCGTCTATCACCTCCTTGCCCGACCCCGACCCCCAGCTGCCGTAGTAGATGTGGTAAACGTTCACCGTCGGATTTCCCACGATCACCGGCCCTCCGTGGTACTTGATTGGTGGCGCGCTGGCGGCCGGGATGACGGCAGCGGCGGCGGCGGTGGCGGCGTGGGAGGCGCCGTCAGTGACTGAGGAGCGGAGGACAGCCGACGGCTGAAACGGTCGCGCCGTCACCGAAGCCGCCGCGAAGGACGGAGGTGGAGGCGGGCTGGTGATGGTGCTGCCGCTGGTGCCCTCGCGGCTGGTGCTGCTGTCGGCTCTGCATCAGCTGTGCGTGCGCGGGGCGTGTGAGAGACACGCGCTTCTTCGGGCCGGCGATCGACTCCGATTCGGCCGGTCGAAGCGCGCCGCCGGAGACGAGAAGCAGGAGGAGCGCGAGGCGAAGATCAGGGGAGTGAGTCGCGAATTTCGCCGCCATGCCGGCGAATGTCGTCGAATGGCGAATGGAATGTCGTCGAGAGACGCCGCAAGTCAATAGCATCCGTTTACTACATTCCACTCAATGTAGCTTTTGTTTACTACAGGCGCTCGAAGGCGTTGTGCTGATAGAAGAAGATGCCGCGGCCAGGCATGCTTAAGTACATTATTAGTACCCGCAACCACGACCCGTGCAATGCCCGAAGCGCGGCGGCGCCAATCAGACAGGTAGTAGTAACGGATTGCTCGGCGGATAGTAACGGTCAGGCGCGCGGTTGCGAGTTGTTGCAGCCGTCGCCGCCGTCGCGCAACGCTCATCGTGAAATCTCCTCGTGAAAATGCGGCGCGGTTCGGTTTGGTCTCGCTCGGCAGTGCGACTTTCGGACGGATGGCTGGTGGATGAAACGCGAAGAAAAAAGGCTTTCACGTGGCAGCTGCTGGCAAAAGGCTCTCTCATTGACGTCCTCCATTCGCCATGTTTCCGCCGGTCCCTCGTCGCCACTTGCTGCCGAGCGTGGCACGACGAACGTGCTCAGCACTCGGCAGTGGCTGTGTCGCGTAACGCTATTTTCTACATAAAAGAGCAGAGCAGACATGGGATATACAACGACCCGAGTCCCGACATGGAACAGTGGAGGACAAGATGAGAACAGAGAGCAGAAAAATACGGCAAGACGGAGCAGCTGCTAGGAAGAAGAGAGAAGCAGATCAGGGAGGGAGGAGAAGAGCTGGTTCTTGGCGAATGGCGGCCAATCGCGAAAACCCTGGAGTGTGGGACACGGGTGTTCGCGAGGCAGACGCGACATTTCGACAATTCGCCAGCTACGGATGTGGGGTGGATGTACGCGTTTCTTGTGTGCTCAACAACGTAATAACCTTGGTGCTAATGTCTCGTTAATACTTAGGGGCTAGACGTGAGAGTGATTGGGCTGGAGTGAGAGGTGGGGCTAGGAGTGAGTCCCCTAACCAACGTTCACCTTTGCTACAGACTGGTGGTACAAGCAAAGGACAATTGGAGAAAGAGGCTGAGAAATCAGTGCGGATAGACAAAGCATTCTTGCGTGAATAATCAGCAGCATCAGCAGTTAAGAAGACTGATGAATGACCAGCCTAGGTACAGGAAGGAGAAAAGCAGCTCCTAAAAAAACCCTCCCAGGTAAAGCCTGAACAACATTGTTCAAGGTCTTAAGGCCTGCTGCCTGTTAGCCTATGGTGCAAGAAAAACCCTGTGACCAAGGCTCTCCTGAATGCTCGCAACATGACGAATCACATCCGCCATGAAAAAGAACAAGCTCGAGTCCCTCCCATCAAGCCCGCTTTTCCCAGCAGGGCTGTCCGCAGGCTGCCGGTTGTTACCAGTGAAATTAGTACACGGGCTCCCTCCGATGATCAGATCAAACGGTCCGTATTCACTCACCAACGATTCCACAACCTCCCTGTTCAAAGACCTCACATTGTGATACAGCTGCAATAACTCCCCCAGCATCTGGTTGACCCCATCCCTCCCAGCCCTCTCCTCCGCCATTGCGGTTTCCCTCCACCACCTCCCCTCGGCATCGCGGCAGCTTTTCTCAAACTCCACACTCACGGCGCAGATCACAGGGACTTTCACCATGTGGAGCGCTACTAGGGCGCCACCGATGCCTGAGAAGAGCGAGAGGACCCGGATAGGGCGGTTGAGGCGGCGCAGGACTGAGAGGTGGAGAGCGACGGTGGGCACGTGGAAGGTGTTTCCTGTGAGATGGGGCGATGGAGGGATGGGGATTGGGAGTAGCGAAATGGGGAACAGTGATTGGGGAGCAGGGAATGGGGAAGGGGAATGGGTAATGGGAATGGGGAAGGGGAATGGGTAATGGGAATGGGGAAGGGGAATGGGTAATGGGAATGGGGAAGGGGAATGGGTAATGGGAATGGGGAAGGGGAATGGGTAATGGGAATTGAGGAATGGCGCCTCCATGTGGAGAGCAACCAGGGCGCCGCTGATGCCTGAGAAGAGAGAGAGGACTCGGATGGGCCGGTTGAGACGACGCAGGACTGAGAGGTGGAGAGCAACGGTGGGCACATGGAAGGTGTTTCCTGCGGGGATGGAGAAATTGAGTGATGGGGGGATGGGGGGATAGGGGGATAGGGGGATAGGGAATGGGGGATGGGGGAGCGAACAGGGGGATGGGAGGGGAGTGTGGGGATGGGTTGCAACTTAGCGACAACTCAAAAAGTCTTGCAGAGGTGGTGACTTATGAGAATTCTCAAAAGTATCTTGCAGAGGTGGTGGAGGACTGAGAGGTGGGGATGTCGAAGGTGTTTCCTGGGGGAAAAAGGGGGAGCCGGGGGAGTTGGGTAATGGGTTGGAAAAATGACCAAGCTTCGTGTCAACTCATAAGTCTTGCAGAGGTGGTGGAGGACAGAGAGGTGGAGAGCGGTGGTGGGGACGTGGAAGGTGTACCATTGGGATAGGGCGATGGGGGGATGGGGGTTGGGTTGGAAACATGATAAACGTTATAAGTCAAGTGAGGAGGGATGAAGGATGCAAAGAGAAAGGAGCAGCGAGGGCAAAGAGCGAAAAGAAAAATGCGGATGAGAGTAAGGTTGCTGTGAGAACGCAATGAGAGGAAGGTTGCTGTGAGAACGCAATGAGTGGAAGGTTGCTGTGAGAACGCAATGAGAGGAAGGTTGCTGTGAGAACGCAATGAGTTTTATACATCTCAAAGAGAACTGCAATGTTCATCTTCTCACTCTCATTCTCATTCTCATTCGCATTCTCATTCTCATTCGCATTCTCATTCTCATTCGCATTCGCATTCTGATTATCATCCTCATTCTCATTCTCAGTCTCCATGGTCATTCTTACCGAGCATCTTATATCTGCTGGTCTTGTTGTTGGTGACCACGCTCACATGCCCCTCCGGGTATCCCATCAGCATCTCCAGCTGCTTCACCTTCAGCGGAGCGAGGCGGTTGCGCTCAATCCACAGCAGATTGTACCTGATTGGTTGGGAGAGGGCATTCAAAAGAGGGGCATTCGAAAAAGGGGCATTGGAAAGAGGCACGGGATTGCACTAAGTCCAGATATGGAGTCATGCTTCTTGCCTTGGTACCCCATCTGTTCCTCCAACTGCAGAGGAGCGAGCCGGTTGCTCTCAAGAAACAGTTATTGACAAGGGACAGACCCCGTGGAACAAATGCAGCACGAGACTGTCACTGAAAGCAAAACAAATGACATGCCATAACTCTCTGGTCAAAAGCAGGGTTCCTGATGCCTCCACTCCACACCCCACATATACACCGTTCCACTTCCACCCCACTCCACTCCTCCCCACTCCACATGACTCCACTTTAATCCATTCCGCATACACTGCTGTATTCCACTTCTCTCACCCCTCCCTCACTCCTCCCCTCTCCCTATCACCTCCTCCCCCTCTTTTCTATCACCTTCTCAAAAGTATCAACTCACTTCCTGATGCATTTCAGCAGCTCTTTTTGTGTTTCATATGGGAAGCCCATGCACAGTGGGTGTGTCTTGAGTCGACTCAAAGCACACCTCTCCCCCCTCTTCCCACCCTCCCCCATCAACTCACTTCCTGATATATTTCAGAAGCTCTCGCTGTGTCTCCATAGGAAGCCCATGCGCACCGTGCATCTGCAACTCATCATTCCACTCCTGCAGCCTCACAGCACATCCTCCCCCCCTTCCCCCCCTTCCCACCCTTCCCTCCCTCCCCCATCAACTCACTTTCTGATGTATTTCAGCAGCTCTGTTTGTGTCTCCGGAGCAAGCCCATAAGCACCGTGCATCTGCAGCTTATCATTCCACTCCTGCAGCCTCACATCCACTCCAAACGCCTGCGTGTTAATCACATTTAGCTTTTCCCGAGGGTCCCAGCGCGGCCAAAACTGCGCCAAGCAGGGAAACGCCTCGGAGATCGTTTTCGGGCAGTTTCGAACCTCCTCGGGCAGCCACCGGCTTTGTGTGGGTAAGTTGTGGATGTACCTGTTAGGTTGAGGGGGTTGGAATAGAAGGAGATACGGGTTAGTGGGTGGTTGGGTGGATAAGAGGAGACGAGTGGTCATGCAGGTGGGGGAAAGTGCGGAAATACCAACAGGGCTTGAAAGGAAAGAGCTTGAAAGGAAAGGCTCTGCACATCGCATGAGAGAGATTCTCATGGGAGGACTAAATGTGAACAGAATAGAGAATTGAAGGACTGAAATTACTGAGTGAATGTAATAGAGAACTGAAAGATTGAAACTACTGAGTGATGTTTGGGATAGAGTTCATGTGGGAGAGAGAGAGCATGTGGGAGAGAGAGAGCATGTGGGAGAGAGAGAGCATGTTTAGCGTTAACACACATAAAGACACACTCAACCTGCACTCACCCCCTCTTCCTGCTACACACGCCCAGATGAGCACTATTTGCGGTGACTCTTGAGTCGACTCAAAGGTCACCTCTGCTACACACGCCCAGATGAGCACTATTTGCAAACTCACATTCTTCTACGCACTATGCACACGCAGCAAACACACTCACCCCACACTCACCCCCCCATACTCACCGCACCCACACTCGCCCCACAATCACCCTCTCTTCCTGCTGCACACGCCGAGGTGAGCACTGTCAACAAACTCCACCTTGAATGGCATGCATTGATGCACACATATCCATACACACTCACTCACCCCCTCTTCCTGCTGCACACGCCGAGGTGGGCACTGTCAACAAACTCCACCTTGAGTGGCATGCATTGATGCACACATATCCATACACACTCACTCACCCTCTCTTCCTGCTGCACACGCCGAGGTGAGCACTGTCAACAAACTCCACCTTGAATGGCATGCATTGATGCACACATATCCATACACACTCACTCACCCCCTCTTCCTGCTGCACACGCCGAGGTGAGCACTGTCAACAAACTCCACCTTGAATGGCATGCATTGATGCACACATATCCATACACACTCACTCACCCTCTCTTCCTGCTGCACACGCCGAGGTGGGCACTGTCAACAAACTCCACCTTGAATGGCATGCATTGATGCACACATATCCATACACACTCACTCACCCTCTCTTCCTGCTGCACACGCCGAGGTGATCATTGTCAACAATCTCCACCTTGAATGGCATGCATTGATGCACACATATCCATACACACTCACTCACCCTCTCTTCCTGCTGCACACGCCGAGGTGGGCACTGTCAACAAACTCCACCTTGAATGGCATGCATTGATGCACACATATCCATACACACTCACTCACCCTCTCTTCCTGCTGCACACGCCGAGGTGATCATTGTCAACAAACTCCACCTTGAATGGCATGCATTGATGCACACATATCCATACACACTCACTCACCCTCTCTTCCTGCTGCACACGCCGAGGTGGGCACTGTCAACAAACTCCACCTTGAATGGCATGCATTGATGCACACATATCCATACACACTCACTCACCCTCTCTTCCAGCTGCACACGCCGAGGTGATCATTGTCAACAAACTCCACCTTGAATGGCATGCATTGATGCACACATATCCATACACACTCACTCACCCTCTCTTCCTGCTGCACACGCCGAGGTGGGCACTGTCAACAAACTCCACCTTGAATGGCATGCATTGATGCACACATATCCATACACACTCACTCACCCTCTCTTCCTGCTGCACACGCCGAGGTGAGCACTGTCAACAAACTCCACCTTGAATGGCATGCATTGATGCACACATATCCATACACACTCACTCACCCTCTCTTCCTGCTGCACACGCCGAGGTGAGCACTGTCAACAAAATCCACCTTGAATGGCATGCATTGATGCACACATATCCATACACACTCACTCACCCCCTCTTCCTGCTGCACACGCCGAGGTGGGCACTGTCAACAAACTCCACCTTGAGTGGCATGCATTGATGCACACATATCCATACACACTCACTCACTCTCTCTTCCTGCTGCACACGCCGAGGTGGGCACTGTCAACAAACTCCACCTTGAGTGGCATGCATTGATGCACACATATCCATACACACTCACTCACCCCCTCTTCCTGCTGCACACGCCGAGGTGGGCACTGTCAACAAACTCCACCTTGAGTGGCATGCATTGATGCACACATATCCATACACACTCACTCACCCTCTCTTCCTGCTGCACACGCCGAGGTGATCATTGTCAACAAACTCCACCTTGAATGGCATGCATTGATGCACACATATCCATACACACTCACTCACCCTCTCTTCCTGCTGCACACGCCGAGGTGATCATTGTCAACAAACTCCACCTTGAATGGCATGCATTGATGCACACATATCCATACACACTCACTCACCCTCTCTTCCTGCTGCACACGCCGAGGTGAGCACTGTCAACAAACTCCACCTTGAGTGGCATGCATTGATGCACACATATCCATACACACTCACTCACCCTCGCTTCCTGCTGCACACGCCGAGGTGGGCACTATCCACAAATTCCACCGGCAGCGAGAACAGCTGGTTTGACATATACCCCCACTCCGCATCCCTGATATTCTCCACATAGATCATGATACTCCTGGGAGCGAGCTTCAAGTCAGCAGGGTTTCGCTGGTAGGGCATGATGCGGGGAATCCCGCCGAAGCCACACATGCGCGAGAAGTTGGTATGGTTGCAGCGGAAAGGGGTTTCGGGGGTCGCCGGGTGGGTGGGGTTGATGCCTTGCATGCCGCGAGAGGAGTGCACGAGGTTGGGCGCGGGCGGAAGGTTTCGCTTCTGTGGGAGGAGAGGAGAACAAGGGACGGGAAAGGGAAAGGGGCTTCAGTGGTGGCGGGGTGGGTGGGGTTGATGCCTTGCATGCCGCGAGAGGAGTGCACGAGGTTGGGCGCGGGCGGAAGGTTTCGCTTCTGTAAGAGGATAAGGAAAGGAGGGGCAGGGGAGGCAGGGGGGGAAGGGAGGAAAGGGGGGCAGGAAGGAAGCAAGTGAGAGGGATAGAAGTTGGTGGGGTCGCAGCGGACGGGCGTTTCGGGGGTCGCGGGATGGGTGGGGTGGATGGCTTGCACGCCGCGAGAGGAATGCACGAGGCTGGGCGCAGGCAGGGGGGGTCGCTTCTGTGGGAGGGAGGGAGGGAGGGAGGGAGGGGGGGTAGAGAGAGAAAGGGGAAAGGTGGAAGACAAGATGAGTGCACGACTTCTGGGAAGGGACGGAGGGAGGGAGGGAGGAAGGGAGGGGAAGGGGGGAGAGCGGGGGGTGGGTGGCTGAGAGGGTGGCTGAGAGGGTTTCCACTCGCCACTCGCCACACTTGCCTTGGAAGCATTTCCCAGTCCACCACTCGCCACACTTGCCTTGGAAGCATTTCCCAGTCCACCACTCGCCACACTTGCCTTGGAAGCATTGCCCAGTCCACCACTCGCCACACTTGCCTTGGAAGCATTTCCCAGTCCACCACTCGCCACACTTGCCTTGGAAGCATTTCCCAGTCCACCACTCGCCACACTTGCCTTGGAAGCATTTCCCAGTCCACCACTCGCCACACTTGCCTTGGAAGCATTGCCCAGTCCACCACTCGCCACACTTGCCTTGGAAGCATTGCCCAGTCCACCACTCGCCACACTTGCCTTGGAAGCATTGCCCAGTCCACCACTCGCCCTGCGCTTCTGACCCGCTGCTCCCCCAGCCATACCACTCAGCATCTGCAGCAGCAGCATCTACAGTACCTGCAGCAGCACCTGCATCACCTGCAGCACCCACTCACAGCACCTGCATTGCCCCTCCCACCTTCGACAACGCAAGAATGTGAGTTACTTGCCTTGGAAGCATTGCCCAGTCCACCACTCGCCCTGCGCTTCTGACCAGCTGCTGCCCCGGTCACACCACTCACAGCACCAACACCCCCAACACCACCCACACCCCCAACACCACCCACACCACCCACACCACCCACACCACCCACACCACCAACCCCATAGTCATCCTCACCCTCCTCCTCCTCCTCCTGCTCATCATCCCACCAATTGCCATCACCCGCACCACCAGCAGCAGCACCACCACCACCGAAACCACTAATACCACCATTCCACTCCCCTCCTCCTTCCTCCTCTTCCTCATCTTCCTCCTCATCCCACCAATTTCCCTCCTCCTCTTTGCATTTCCCCACTCCCCTTCCGTCTCCACCGCCCTTCACTCCCCCTCCTCTCCCTCCTCTCAAACCCCCTCCTCCGAACCCTCTCCCTCCCCCCAATCCTCCCCAACTCCCTCCCTCCCACCCCTCCTCCTTCAAACCTCCTGCCACGCTGTCACGCTGAGTCAGCATCCGTGCCAGCTGTCGCTCTACCCCTCCCTTACCAAAACCCCCTGCCCCCACCGTCCCCATACCACCACCTCTGGCTGTATTGTTCCCCCACCGCTCACCACCGCATCCAACCCCGCTGCCCCACCCCTCATCACCACCCCTAGCTGTGTTATTCCCCCACCGCTCACCACCGCATCCAACCTTGGTACCCCACCCATCACCACCACCCCTGGCTGCGTTGTTCCCCCACCGCTCATCACCGCATCCAACCCTGCTGGGCCCCGCCTGATCGCTGGGTCTAAAGGGTGCTGCTCTGGGTGCTGGGGAGTGAGGTGGAGCACGTGAGACTGCTGAGGTGGTGGGTGGACGGGTGAGGCCCGAACCACCTAAGCCTGGTGGAAATGAGGGGAAGAGGGGAAAAGGGGAAGGGATGGGAACAGGGGAAAAGGGGAAAGGAAGGAAACAGGGGAGAAGGAAACGAAGTGTAATAGCATCTGTATCCGCGCCAAAGGAAGGATAAGTGGGATGAGGTAACGGGGAAAGTGGAATAAGTGGAAAGTGGGAAAGCGATGAGTGGGGGGGATAGTGGGAAGAGGGGAAGGCGAAAAGCAGGATAAGCTAGTGGAAGTGGGATAAGTGGGAAAAGAGGGAAGAGTGGGGATAAGTGAGAAGAGTCGGCTCACCAAAGCTGGATGCCCCATCCTCGTCTTCATTCAACCAGCCTCCCACGCCCCTCCCTTCTGCTCTCCCACCTGCCCTCCCATTAGCAGCACCAGCAGCACCACGAGCAGCAGCAGCAGCACAGCCACTACTTCGAACAGCAGCACCAGAATAAGCGCCTGCACCACCCCTGAAACCACCAACTCCGAAACCACCACCCCTGAAACCACCGCCGCCAACACCACCACCAACACCACTGCCAACACCGCCACCAACGCGACCCCATCCTTCTCCGTACTTCCCTCCTTCATCCTCACCATAACCTCCCCCCTCCTCCTCCTCATCTTCCTCCTCCTCCTGCTTCTGCTCCTCTCCCTCTCTCTCCTCCTCTTCCTCCACCATCCTCTCGTGCACCTCAGCAGCAGCAGCAAAATCCACAGCCTCTGCCACCCACCGCTCCAGCTCCCACCCCCCCATCCTCGCATCCTTCCTTGTCCTCTCTACAATCTTCCTCGCTTTCCTCTCTTGCATCCCCATAGTGCCCATCAACCATTCTGCCACTGCCTCTCCAGTGTTCTCATCAAACTTATCCCTTTGCTCGTGTTCGTTCCCAAGCCCCCCGTTCTGCTCGTTCTCACCACCACCAAACCCACCCCTTTGCTCGCTCCGACCAGCAAACCCACCCCTTTGCTCGCTCCGACCAGCAAACCCACCCCTTTGCTCGCTCCGACCAGCAAACCCAGAATCAAAGCCTTTCGTTCCCAATTCGGCTGCCCCCGTCCCTCTCTCATCCCCTTCCCCTCTTCCCACTCCCCATCCCCCTCCCCCTACCCCTCGCCCCAGCCCTCTTTCTTCCGCTCCCCATACCCCTACTAATGCTCCTCCCCTTTCCCCTTCCCTTCCAACTCCAAATCCTGCTCCTGCTCTCTCTTCTGTTCTCACTCCACCAAATCGCACCACACCACCTCCCACCGCACCGCCTCCCACCGCACCAATTCTCTCCCCACTCTCCACCCTCTCTTTCTTCACTTCAACCAAATCACCATCCCCATCACCATCCCCATCACTATCAGAATCGTCATCCTTCTCCTCCTCAACCTTGTATTCGCTATCACTACCATCATCACTACCATCACTATCATCGCTATCATCACTATCACTATCAGCTTCCTCCTCCTCATTATCCTTCCGCATACTCGCCCCAGCCTTCCTTCTCTCCCTCTCCTCCTCCCCCTTCCCCTCTCCTCTCTCGTTCCCCTCACCTCCTTCTCCCTCCTTTCCTTCCTTTCCCTCCTCTTCCTCTTCTTCCTCCTCTTCCTCCTCCATATCCCCCTCCCTCACCTCCCCCTCCTCTCTCTCCTCAGCCTTCACTCCTGCGATCTCTTGTATTCCTCCATCCGCCACTGTCCCCACCTTCCCCAACTCCCCCACTCGTCCCACCTCCCCCTCTCTCCCCCCCATCACCACATCCTCTACTGGCTCCGCTTTCACTCTCACCTGCAAACCACTCACTCTCTCTGCCTCTTTCACTCCCCCCTTTACAACAGTTCCCCCCTCTCTCTGCTTTGCTGGTGTCTCAGGACCCTTAGCACCTCCCTCTCTTGACTCGTTCACTCTCAGTCCCTCTTTCTCCTTCACTCCCTCTTCAGCTTTCCCTCTCAGTGGAGCACCGCTCACGCCCACACTCCCTTCGTCCTCCAACCATTCGTTCACAGCACCAGCATAATCACCCACAGGAGCAGCAGCAACAGCAGCACCAGCAACACCAGCACCAGCACCTGCAAAAGCACCAGCAGCAGCACCACCACCAGCAGCAGCAGCAGCACCAACACCCCCACCAGTAGCCATTCCTCCTGCTGCCTCCTGCCTTTTCACCTCCTCCCCACCCTTAGTCACCCATATCAGCGGGGTAAAACCGCTTCTTCCCTTTGCACCCACCCGACCATCAGCACCAGCATCCATATTCTTTGCCCCTGTCTTCACCTTCTGAGGCCTTGCATCACTCAAGGGAATGAACCCAATAGCCCCATCGTCATCCCCATCACTCTCATCACTACCACCATCACCACCACCACCAAGACCCCTTTCCCCTCTATAACCCCTGTCATCACCTCTTGCAGCAGCAGCCACCCCATCTCTCCCACTACCACCTTTCCCCTTGGCTGCTTTCCCATCCCGTTCCTCCTCTCTCCCACACTCCTCCCCTCCTTCCCCGCACTTAACCAATCCATTCCTACCGTTCCAAATCCCTCTCTTGCTGGCGACAGCAAGCCCTCCCTCCCCTCCTCCGACACCCTTCTCCTCTTCTCTCACTCCCCGCCCCTTCTCCTTCCCACTCTCTCTCCCCCATTCTCCTGTCCCTTTCGCCTCCTCCTCCTCTTCCTCCTTGCCCTCATCCTCCTCCCCAATCAACAGCCTCCCTCCCCTCCGCATCCCTCCCTCTCCTGCTCCCCATCCCTGAACTCTCTCTTCCTTCCCCCTCCCCACTCTCTCCAACACTCTCCTTAACTCACCAACAGCCCCAATCAGCCCATCACACCCCTGTCTCCCACACCAAACACACCCCCAGCTCCCCCTCCCCAACCCCTCCTCTCCCTCCTCTCCCTCCCCGCTTCCTTCCCCCACTCCCTCCTCGCTCTCCCCTCCTCTCCATCCCCTCGCAGCCCCCTCCAGCAACCCACACACCGCCTCTCTCTCGCTCGCCAGCATATCTCCCATAGACCTCGGCCACACAAAGCAAAGCCCCCTCACTCTTCTCCCACTCATCCCCCCCACCACATCCCCAAAGTGAGTGACTCTCCTGCTTCTACTGCTGCTCCTCCTGTATCCGCTGTGTCTGCTCCCTGTCCTGTGCCTGTGCTGCTCGTGCCAACACACCCCTTCTCTCCGTCTCCCTATTCCTGCTTCCGCCACCACTTCTTTTCCTTTCCGTTTGTCTCGTCCCTCTGCCCCTCCCTTCCCACACACAACATCCATGCCTGTCTCTCCATTTCTCCTGCCTCCCTCCCCCCGCCTATCCTTTTTTTCACAATGATCCCACATCCTGGCAACCCACTCCTGTACCAGATCCGCCCCTTGCCACCGCACCCCACCCCACTCCACACCTTCGCCCCCCTCCTCCCCAACCCCACCTTCTCCTTTCCTCCCGCTCCCACCCCTCCTCCCACACATAAATCCACACAACGCCGCCCCACTACAGCGCAACCCACCCGACACACCTGCCCCACCCCCACCCCCGCCTCTCCTCCCCAATCCTCCTCTCCCCTCCTCCCCTCCTCCCTCCTCCTCTCCCCTTGCTCCTCCCCGTTCCACACTCACACCCGGAAGCAGCAACCCATGCAGCACAGCCCAAGAAAGGAGAGGGGTGGATAGGAGGCGAGGAACAAAGCTCTCATACTCTATGTCTGGTGACTGACAGACATATAGAGCAAGAGGTGAGTGTAAAATAAGGGTTGGAGGCGCTTCAGGGTCACAAATCGGTGAAACATGAAACCCTATAACGAGTATGGGCTCGTGAACCTTCACTAAAATCGCGTCCTCAGGACCCGCACCCCCACCCGAGCCTCTACCCCCGTTTTTGTCACATCCTGCCGAATCTGCGCCTTGCAGTTGAACTTGGGAGATTATCCCCCATACTGCAAGCCTCCCTTGCTGTATAGCACGCAGGGACAGCTCGCAAGATCGAGAAGGGTCAACGTCTAGATTGACCACTTTGAATTTGTTCAACGAGCGAACAGGCTTGCGATCAGAAAGAGACGGGAAAGGTTTAGGAGGGGACTGAGAGGATGAGGGGATAGGTGGTAGTGCTGCTGCTGCTCCTGCTGTCCCTGCTGCCCCTAATGGCCCTGCTGCTCCTCCTGCCCCTGCTGTCCCTGCTGCCGCTGATGCTCCTTCGAACGGAAACAGCGCTTCAAACAATCCTTCCTCTGCCCCCTCTGCCTCACCCCCTGTGAGTGCTAGCGCCATGTCCTCATCTGGTACCCCCACCACCTCTTCCTCTGCCTCTGCTGCTGCCGCTCCTGCTGCCGCTGTCGCTGCTGCTGCCACTCCTGCTGCTGGTGCCGTTGCTGCTGTCGCTTCTGATGCCATTCCTGTGGGTGCTGCTGCTGCTGATCTTGCCATGCCTGGGAAAACGTGGAAAGAGGGGGGCGTGGAGGAGGAGCGCGAGTCGGAAAATGGGCATGGAACGTGGGGAGATAGGGGGTTGAGTAGGAGCATAGAAGGCGAGCAACGTAGGATAAGAAGAGGGGCACAGAGGCAGCAGACCAGCAGAGCACAGGAGGAGAGCGAGGCAGAAAATGGGCATGGAACGTGGGGAGATAGGGGGTTGAGTAGGAGCATAGAAGGCGAGCAACGTAGGATAAGAAGAGGGGCACAGAGGCAGCAGACCAGCAGAGCACAGGAGGAGAGCGAGGCAGAAAATGGGCATGGAACGTGGGGAGATAGGGGGTTGAGTAGGAGCATAGAAGGCGAGCAACGTAGGATAAGAAGAGGGGCACAGAGGCAGCAGACCAGCAGAGCACAGGAGGAGAGCGAGGCAGAAAATGGGCATGGAACGTGGGGAGATAGGGGGTTGAGTAGGAGCATAGAAGGCGAGCAACGTAGGATAAGAAGAGGGGCACAGAGGCAGCAGACCAGCAGAGCACAGGAGGAGAGCGAGGCAGAAAATGGGCATGGAACGTGGGGAGATAGGGGGTTGAGTAGGAGCATAGAAGGCGAGCAACGTAGGATAAGAAGAGGGGCACAGAGGCAGCAGACCAGCAGAGCACAGGAGGAGAGCGAGGCAGAAAATGGGCATGGAACGTGGGGAGATAGGGGGTTGAGTAGGAGCATAGAAGGCGAGCAACGTAGGATAAGAAGAGGGGCACAGAGGCAGCAGACCAGCAGAGCACAGGAGGAGAGCGAGGCAGAAAATGGGCATGGAACGTAGGGAGATAGGGGGTTGAGTAGGAGCATAGAAGGCGAGCAACGTAGGATAAGAAGAGGGGCACAGAGGCAGCAGACCAGCAGAGCACAGGAGGAGAGCGAGGCAGAAAATGGGCATGGAACGTGGGGAGATAGGGGGTTGAGTAGGAGCATAGAAGGCGAGCAACGTAGGATAAGAAGAGGGGCACAGAGGCAGCAGACCAGCAGAGCACAGGAGGAGAGCGAGGCAGAAAATGGGCATGGAACGTGGGGAGATAGGGGGTTGAGTAGGAGCATAGAAGGCGAGCAACGTAGGATAAGAAGAGGGGCACAGAGGCAGCAGACCAGCAGAGCACAGGAGGAGAGCGAGGCAGAAAATGGGCATGGAACGTGGGGAGATAGGGGGTTGAGTAGGAGCATAGAAGGCGAGCAACGTAGGATAAGAAGAGGGGCACAGAGGCAGCAGACCAGCAGAGCACAGGAGGAGAGCGAGGCAGAAAATGGGCATGGAACGTGGGGAGATAGGGGGTTGAGTAGGAGCATAGAAGAAGAAGAGCAACGCAGGATAAGAGGAGCACAGAGGCAACAGACCAGCAGAGCACAGGAGGAGAGCAGGACGGTACTGGCAGAGCAGAAGAGTTGAAGAAAAGAGGAGCATAGGGGCAGTGGAGCAGCGCAGAAGAGGAGCACAGAAGCAACAATCTCTCACTATGTTTTGCCCCGTATTAGTGGGGCAACAGGCAGTGCAGGCTTTCCAAGGTCATTTCAGGCTTTCTGAGGTGCAGGTCGACAGCATGTGAGTCTCTTTATAGCGGGGATTTACCGGGCATTTCCGTTTCGGTTCAAGTTAGAAGGGTGTGAGACTCACTTATGAGGGCTAGAGGGGCGTGTTTTGCGAACTCATCCTACGAAATATATTTTCCCAACGACGGATGTTCCGTGTGTGTTCGTCCTACAGTTATCTAGTCACTTCGAGCTTCGAATGTACGTCACTGACGTTCGTTTAACATAATATCGCCCGTTTCCCGTGCGATACGTCGTTATCGTTCGCACTAGGACGCACTAGGTCGATCTTAATGCGGCACACTGAATGACGACCCGGCCTACGAAATTCTAAGCGCCTCACATATCGCCTTCCTAGGCTTACCTATACGTGGCGTCGCCCGGCCTTGCAGCCTGCCGTTTTCGAGCGGCCGGCAAGGTCGTCTGTGGTTCTGGATTGCCAGCAGGTGCACTATCTATGTACTTTTGTCAGCTGTTGTTCCCGCAGGAGTTTGAAGGAGGTGGACATACATTTGGCGTGGAGACGCCCGAGTTTGTATTGTACTTTGAGAGGTACACGGTATTCTGTGTCAGAACGGGTTATACTACGGTGCGAAGAGGATCTGAAGTCATCACACGAAATAATGTCCTACGTATGTGCTTGCTGTGAGTGGTGGTCAGTGAATTGAGCAGGCAGTATTCTATCGAACCATTTTATGATCATAATGGAACGCGCCAGAACGTGAAGAATCTCTCTTAGCCGCATTCGAACAAATCTTTGGAGCGGGTTCTCTCAGCTCAAGAAGCCCCAAGCGAGTTTGTCGCAGGCCAAACATTTTTCGTCTACAGATTTTGGGCTATTCGTAGCCGTCAGATCAGAAGCTTAAAGCGACGGGCAACTTTTGGCAGTGTTGGGTTCAGAAGTTTTTTTTTTGAACCAGGCTTGCCAGCGCGAAAGTGCTGGCTGGCGAAAACCAGGATTTCGTGCGGACACTTTCCATCCGCAGTAACAGTTCGCCAGGGTTCTGGGTTTTGGGTGGCAAATGTGCACCGTCGCTTTAATGTTCTCTATTATATATTTTGTAAAATCTATCCAGTTACTGTGAAACACATGATCGCCTGCGAACACAACACTCGTCGCACAACCTCCATTCTTCGCACTGTGCGTCATTCAACGGTCACCTCGATTGCTGCGGAAATCGCCCAAGTCCAACAAGTCCAGCTTTGGGATGATTTCGGGACTTCCGTTGGAGTGAAGCTCATTCCTGGGACAGCAACCTCCGCTGCTCGTCGCCTTCACGTCAGCCTCCAGACTGATCCATTTTCAGCGTCCCCGCCTTGCGTTTGGCCAACGTGCACCACAGATTGTACTGCACGGACGTCACAGATTCCATAGTTAAGGTCCAAATATTGGCTGTGGTTGAGTGGCAAAGCAGCATCACCAACGCAGCATTCACCTCCACAGAGGCTCATCTTCAGTGCGACTTAAATCTCATACTTCAGAGGCGCTTCGAAAGCCAACCTAGCAGTCAGCTCCAGAGGCTCATCTTCAGTGAAACTTCAGTTTATCTACGGTTGAAAACTCTCTTCCCGTAGACTGAGTCCTTCTCACTAGTAATAAAGGCGATATTCGACGAATGGCTCTCATTCGTCCGACATTCGTTCTGTTCGGCGACTCGCTGACGCAGCACTCGTTCAGCGAAGGCGGGTGGGGAGCGGCGCTGCAGAACCAGTACGCGCGCAAGGTGAGCCTCTTCCTCCTCACCTTGCACTGATCTCCTTCCTGAAATCCCTAAAAAACGACGATCCACGGTTCAGCTGATCCGGGCTTTTATCGGGTATAGGAATCCGACGACTCAGCGAATTCGCGTCGCTTCCAGCGTTAACTGAGACGGAATGGCCGGCACCCCGTCTCCTGCCAAATCAAGACCTGCTACCACCGACGCGTCTCGTTATCGCAACATGACTGCTGGGTCCCCGTCGCTGCACCATCGAGCTCCCCACTCGCCTGAAGGCCCCTCCTCCCTTCCTCCAGACCAGCAGCAGCAGCAGCCACAGCCATTTTATCTCCATCAGCAGCAGCAGCAGCAGCAGCAGCATCATTCGCAGCAAGAGCAGCAGCAGCATAAGCTGGAGCGCCAGGAGCACCAATTCCATCAGTCCCGTCAGTCTCACACGATGGAGCATCTCCACAGACCCACGCGCTCCCACCCCTTCCTCCACTCCTCCACCTCACGATCCCTCTTCCACAGTCCGAGTCAAAAGAACTCCGTACCATCTTCCAACCCTTCTCTCCCTTCTCTCCCCCGACCTATACCCCTTCTCCCTCCCTCTCTCCGCTTCCCCTTCCGCTCTCCCCTCGCCTCCTGCATCCTCGGAGCACTGCTCTCTCAGCTGCTCTCCCTCCCCTTACTCTTCCTCCTGCTGCCGCTGCCTCCCCGTCTGCCCTCATACCACCAGGCTCCTCCTTTCCAGCCTTTTCCCGCGACCTCTTTCTCTCACAAACTCGATTTGCGGCGCTGGTTCGGTTTAGGCCAGCAGCAGCAACAGTGGCAGCAGCAGTGGCAGCAGCAGTGGCCGCAGCAACAGCAACAGAAGCACTACCATCAGCAGCGGCAGCAGCAGGTGTACCCGCCTCATCACCCCCCTGCACATCTACCCGCACCTGATCGCCCTTCCCCTGATTCAACCTCCCTGGATGCACGTGAAAAGAGTGGCACTTTGTCAAGTGAAGGGAGGGAGGGAGCAGCAGCACAGGAGAGCGGCTCTCTGACAGGTGAAGGGAGGGAGCGGGCAGCAGTACAAGAGCAGAGCAGCACTCAGTCAAGTGAAGGGAGCGAGGTGGCGGCTGCATGTGAGGGAAGGAGGACCCTGTCATGTGAAGGGAGGGCGGGAGCAGCAGCACGGGAGGAGAGCTCTCAGCCTATGGCAGGGCAGAGTGCTGCTGCTCTGGCACGAGGTGCACTGGGGGGGCGACGGAGGGCTCAAGACAGGGGGGCACTGCCATTGTCACCATCATCGTCAGAACCATCTTCTTTATTGTCATCTTCATTAGCAGCAGCAGCCACAGTAGCAGAAGCAGCAACAGCAGCAGAAGCATCGGCAACAACAGCAGCGGCGGCAGCGCATGTGGCGATGCCACCACCAGCAGCAACATCACGCTGGTCCCGGCCTGCCTTTGTGCTGTTTGGTGACTCGCTCACTCAAAGGTCCTTTGCTGGAGGCGGCTGGGGGGCTGCTCTGCAGAACCAGTATGCCCGCAAGGTGGGGTTGTGAAGGGGTGTGGTGTGGTGTGGTGTGGTGAGGTGTGGTGTGGTCCCAGCCTGCCTTTGTGCTGTTAGGTCAATCTCTCACCCAGAGGTCTTTTAGCTGGAGGGGGCAGCTCTGCAGAACCAGTATGTTCGCAAGGTGATCCCTTTGCAAGGTGATCCCTGGAACACAAAAACGCAATGAACACAGCGCCCTGTCTTTGCGTTCGCTCGGTGACTTTTGAGTCGATCCAAAAGCCATCTGCAAGAAGAGGTGTTGGAACACAAACGGAATCATCACAGCGCCTCGTCTTCGCGTTCGCTTCTACTCTCTCGCTTGCACGCGGACGAGGTGTGCCTGGGTTACCGCCATTGACGGGGCACATGCAATGCAACAACGCAAGGTGACTCCAAACACCAACGCCCTACCTTCACATCGTTCGGTGCTCTTGCTGTGTGCTATGTGCAGGCGGACGTGGTGTTAAGGGTTTACAGCTGGAGAGCAAAGCTGGAGAGGTTACAACACACACTGGGTACTCCTCCTTCCTCCTCCCCGAGCTCTCGCTTTGCTCTTTGCTCTTTGCTGTGCTGCGTGCAGGTGGATGTGGTGTTACGGGGTTACAGCGGGTACAACACCCGCTGGGCACTCTTCCTCCTACCCAAGCTCTTCCCCAAGGTAAGAATTCTCAAGGTAAGAATTCTCAAGGTGAGACTTTCCCAAGGTGAGACTTTCCCAAGGTGAGACTTTCCCAAGGTGAGACTTTCCCAAGGTGAGACTTTCCCAAGGTGAGACTTTCCCAAGATGAGACTTCCTCAAGGTGAAATTGATCCGAAGGCGAGACTGATACTGCTGCCCAAGATCTTTCCAAAGTACACCTCTTTCAAAGTTCGTCCACCATTCATCATCTGCGCTGTTGTCCTTGATACAATCGCACGAGTTACAGGGTGACACCCTACTTGGCCCCGCTTTCTTCCATGCATGATGCATCCCATCCAGCATCAACGCAGCACGGTGACACTGACACATCACACAGCACAGTGCGTCAACCATGTATGCTGCCCTGCCCTTCTCTCCCATCCATATGACCGTACCCCTGGTTGCAAATATATCAGGGTGACACGTCGATTCCTCCTCCCGCGCTGGTGACTGTCTTCTTTGGCGCCAACGACGCTGCGCTGCCAGGGAGAACGAGCGGCAAGCAGCACGTGCCGATCCCCGAGTTCAAGGAGAACCTGCGAGTCATAGTCACTCACCTGCAGGTATGCATTGAGATTTGACTGGGGCATCTGCCGGTGTGATGTGCGGTGTGCAATGGTTGCTCTATAAGCTGAAGCAAATATCAGTGAAGTCAGAGCAGCAGTAAACAGCACAGCACAGCACATGCCGATTCGAGAGTTCACGGAGAACCTGCGAGTCATCTGCACCTGCAGCCTGCAAGTATGCACCCTGTTATAGGGTTCTGATCCGCATCACTGCTCCAGCTCTCGTGCTCATCTCATCTCCCCTCCTGCCACCCACCTTGCCCCCATTGAACACTCCAATCATTAGGTCCCAACTGTGTGTGTCGTGCTCATCACTCCCTCTCCTTGCTTTATGCTCTCCTCACCATCCCCCTCTTTCTCCCCTCACAACCCCCTCCTCCCCGCACGGCCGCTGGGTCGCAACATGTATGTCGTGCGTGCTCATCACTCCATCCCCTTGATTCATGCTCTCCTCACCATTCCCCTCATTCCTCTTTCCCTTAATATCCCCTCCACCTACCTCCAGTCGCTGGGCCCCAACGTGCGTGTGGTGCTAATCACGCCACCCCCTGTGGACGAGCCTGGTCGCATGGATTTCGCCAAGTGAGTCCCTACTTGAGGGCCTAGTGGGTTGTTCGGAAAATGGAGGGTTCTGTTCTACCCTCGAAGACTGTTTTGTTCACATGCAGTGTTGCAAGGCCGCCTGCCTGGTGCTCCTGAGTCATTACATTGAATTGTGGGCGAGGCTGGCTGTATGGAGTACGCCAAGTGAGTCCTATCTTGGGGTTGTATGGAGGTACTCAGAATTCGTCACATCTTGCACGTGTTTTCACATGTGAATGAAGGAATGCTTTAAAATTTCTAGTCCAACTCTCGGGGTACGTGTTTGCACGTGTTTTCCTCGGGGCGATGTATGGAGAGCAGTGCATGAATGAAGGAGCTGGAGCGAGCTTGCAGCAGCCCTCTTTAAAGCCAGGATCTCAAGTAAGAGTATTTGGCATCAACTGCAAAACAATTGACGCTAGGGTCACCCTGTTTGAGTGGGCGTAGTGGAGTGACGGGTTTGGGGTTGACCGTTTGTGCGACAAATTCCCCGTTTTGCCCGTGCTTCAATTGCAAAACAAATTGCTGGGGACTTGAGACTTTCGGGAATCTGAAACATTCGCTGGTACTTTAGCTTCGGCCCCGAACCAGTTTCCGTGCCTAGATGGTTCGGAAACAACCTGCGACTTGTTTTTTCCTCGCACCCCTCGCTTCACTCCTCGTCAACTTCTGTACCTCGCCATCCAATCCCAGCCTAGCACTATTCACCAACTGCAAAACAAATGAAGTACTTGAGATCCTGGCTTTATGTCCCAATCCAATTCTTTCTCCCCTCTTCTCAGAGCAATTTACGGTGAGCAGTGCATGAAGGAGGCGGAGCACTTGATTCCCACATGTTCCTCATCCCACTTCCTTGCTCTCTCCCCTTTCTTCTCAGAGAAATGTACGGTGAGCAGTGCATGAAAGAACCGGAGCGCACGAACGAGGTGACGGGCAAGTATGCAGGAGCAGTGAGGGAGGTAGCAGAGGCATGTGGGGGCGTGCCTGTGATTGACCTCTGGACCGTGCTGCAGCAACAACCCAACTGGCAGGCCCTGCTCAGGTCAGCACATGCACACACATGTGTGCACGCACCCTCTTGTACTGGCGAACGCATGAACGAGGTGACAGGTAAGTATGTGGGGTGGTGAGGGCGGTGAGGGAGGTGGCAGATGCGTGTGGGGGCGTGCCTCTGGGGTCAGTGCTGCCGCAACAACCCCACCTGGCACTCCCTGCTCTGTACAACTTTCTGTTGTCACACTCCAGTAACACATATTTTTTTTGCCCCGTGTACACCCGTTTTTCTTTATGTTCTCTGTTTTCTCCTTCCAGCGACGGGCTCCACCTGGCTCCTGGGGGAAACAAGGTGTTGTTTGAGCAGCTGTCGTCGCTTCTCCAATCAAGTGCTGATTGGACGCCACCTTTGGTGCAAGAGAGCATGCCGTGGGATTTTCCAGAGCATATCAATATTGACGGTGAAAATCCTGGAAATGCATTCAAGGACTTGTAAGTAAATGTACTATGAGAATGTTTTATAACATCAAAGATTTGCATAAAAGTGTTGATTGATTGGTCTATGTGCAGTGCAGTGCCAGTGTGGTGCTTGTGCAACCATGGTATGGTCTCATTGGTCCAGACGGCCTTAATCTTGCCTGCTCTAACCTGCCCACCTTGTGTATGCAGATTAGTGGTAAGCTGTTACGGGTGCAATGAATCGAAGTAGCGAGAATTGCACTAAGGTGTCAAACGAGTACAAAATGTGAGCGAAGGTATGAGCGAACATTTATACGCGAAACATGAAAACGGTAACGTGGTGCGTGCGAGCTAGCTAGTGCTATGCTGGAGCGAGGCTTGGGCTAGTCCCGAAGCGTAGGCCGACACGGCCATGCCAGCAGTGCGAGGTTTGGTGAAAACAGTGTGCGCGAAGTCGGCGAAGCCCCGTTAGCAGTAACGGGCGAACAACGGCTGTTGCTGTACGCGATGTAGTCGGGCTCCGTAAGGAATGCCGAGAAAAATCCTTACACTACCCCCCCCCTCAAGAAGCCCCCTCCGCTACGCGAGTGCGTGTATATCGCGGAATCCCCGGCTCCTCAGGTACACTTGCAGGGCATGGTGGTTTTCGATGTTGGCCAGGGGCACCCAGCTGTCCTCAGTTGGCGTGCGATCCTTCCAGCGGACGAGGAATTCAATCCTCTTGAGTCCCGTGGGGTGTCGAATCCGATGGCTCAGGATTTTTTCGGGCTCGATGATCGGCTCCGATGCAGGGCGAGTCATGGATGGCGGGCGGTGGCGAGGCAGTTGGCTTGTGGTTGGGATGTAGGGGCGAAGCAAGCTGACATGGAACGAAGGGCTGATGTACCAGTCGGTCGGTAACAGTAGGTGCGCGGTTACTGGCGTGATCATGTGGCTGATTTGGAATGGGCCACAATAGCGCGGTCGAAGTTTTGGTACGTCGGGCAGTCGCAGATTTTGCGTGTCGAGCAGTACGTAATCCCCTGACTGGTATGTGACTGGGCGGCGGTGGCAGTCAGCGTTGCGCTTAGCGATGGCGTTTGCTTTTTTAATTGCTTCTGCGGCTCTGGTGCGGGCAGCTTGCAGAATTTCGGCGAATTGCTGTGCTCGTGGTGTTGGGTTGTCCGGACTCGGCGTCATGGGCACTGTAGGATTTTGCCCGTAGTTCAGGTAGAAGGGGGACTGCTGCGTCGTCGCTGACGTGGCATTATTGTACGCGAACTCGATCAGCGGCAGCTGCTGCTCCCAAGTCGTGGGGTCGTCGCACGTGGCACGAATCAACTGCTCCATCGTCTGATTCGTCCGCTCCGTTTGACCGTCGGTCTCGGGGTGGTACGACGAACTGAACTGCAGCCTGGTTCCGAACTGCTCCCAGAGGTTCTTCCAGAAGTTGCTGGTGAACTTTGTGTCCCTGTCGCTGATAATCGCTGCTGGTATCCCGTGCAGGCGAACACCGGCTGCGATGAACAGACGAGCGGTCTCCTCGGCTGAGATCGACTTTTTGCACGCAGCGAAGTGTGCCATCTTCGTCAACCTGTCAACGACGACCATCACCGCGTCGTTACCCCCAGGGTTCGAAGGTAACCCTGTGACGAAGTCCATGGTAACCTGCTGCCAGGCGCGCTCGGGCGGTGGTATCGGCTGCAATTGACCCGCCTTCCGCTTCCTTGAGCTCTTCATCACCTGACACGTGGGGCACGAGCCCACGTGCTGCTGTACGTCGGTCAATAGCTCTGGCCAGTAGTAATACCGCTGCAGTTGCTGTCGCGTTTTTTCTACCCCAAAATGTCCCGAGGTAATTCCGTCGTGTGCCTCCTGCAGTAGTAGCTCCCTCAGTAGTGAGTACGCGGGTACCCAGATGCGGTTGGTGCCTGTTTTTACATAATAAACTCCTTTAGCTTCTGCCAGTTGCTGTGAATTTCCGGTCGTGAAGAATGGGTCAGTGCGGTATCCGTGGGTAAATAGGCCTGTTAAAAGTGGGTTGGTCTAGGCGAGTAGGATGGCGTGGAGTTGGGCGGTAGGGCGGGTGAGTGCGTCGGCGATGTTGGATGCGCCTTTCTTGTACGTAACCGTGTAGTGGAAGTTGGACTCGAGGTAGTCCAACCAGCGAATCTGTCGTGGATTGAGATTCGGTTGGGCGCGTAAGTACTGTAGTGATCGGTGGTCTGCCCGTACTGTCACGTCGGCACCAGTCAGGTAACACCGCCAAACCTTGAACGCGTGCACGATCGCCAACATTTCGCGGTCGTGTATCGGGTAATTGAGTTCGGGCGGGTGCAGCTTGCGGGACTCGTACGCGATTGGCTGGAGGCCGTTCCCGAAATCCTGCAACAGTACTGCTCCCACAGCGATGTCACTTGCGTCAGTGACGAGCTCGAACGGACGGTGTGGATCTGCGATGTGAAGCACGGGCGGTGAGCACAAAATGTTTTTGAGGGCCGAGAAGGCAGCTTGCTCTTTCTCCCCCCACGTGTACGCAACCCCCTTCCTCATCAGGTCAGTCAACGGGGCAGTCAGCTTCGCCATGTCGGGGACGAACCGGCGCACGTAGTTGACGAACCCCAAAAAACTCTGCAACTCGGTCAAGTTGGTCGGCGCGTGCCATGCTTGAATCGTCGCAATTTTCTTCGGGTCTATTTCCACTCCTGCAGCGGAAATAACGTGTCCCAAAAAATCCTGGCGGTCCTGTAAAAACTCACACTTAGACGCTTTGGTCAGTAGGCGGTTCTCACTCAGGATTTTAAAAACTGCGTTGATGTCCTGTAAGTGCTGTGCTCTGTCAGGGCTGTAAATCAGTATGTCGTCCAGGTATACTATGACGCACTTATCTAAGAGCGGGCGGAAAGCTTCGTTCATGGTCATTTGAAAGGTGGCGGGGGCGTTGGTCAGTCCGAAAGGCATGACGGTGTATTCGAAGGATCCGTAGCGTGTGCGGAATGCGGTCTTAGGGCAGTCGGGCGGGTTGACGCGAATCTGGTGGTAACCCCCTCGGAGGTCGATTTTCGAGAAAACCCGGGCTGTGCGCAGTTGGTCGATCAGTTCGTCGGCTCGCGGGATGGGGTAACGGGATTTGATGGTAACCCTGTTCAGTGCTCTGTAATCTATGCACAGGCGAAATCCCCCGTCTTTTTTCGGTGTGAACAGTATCGGTGCTGCGAAGGGCGACGAACTAGGGCGGATGAATTCCTTCGCGAGCAGGTAATCGAGCTGCTTCCTTAGTTCGTCCAGTTCGGGCTGGGTCAGTCGGAACTGTCGCTGTACTGTTGGCTGTGCCCCCGGTTCTAACTCTATCCTGTGGTCGTGCGGTCGCTGAGGTGGCAGTCCCGTTGGTAAATCGTCCGGGAAAATGTCGCTGTACTGCTTCAATAGTGCTGCCAGGTCACTCGGTACTTCGGCCAGCAGTTTCTGTAAATCCCCTCCTTTGTCTGCTGCCTCAGCTTCCCGAATGTCGACCGCGTACACGTCAGCTCCTGCCGCTACGGCGCGTTTCATCGTGATCGCATTGACACGCATTGACGAAGACTCAGGTGAGCCCCAGCGAGGTAAGGCGATGTTGTTACCGTTCACTCGCACGGTGCAGTCACCCGTCGCCCAGTCGATTCGCGGATTGTGTCGTCGCAACCAATCACGCCCGAGTAAAATATCGGTTCCGTCGAGGGTCGTTGCGAGCATTTCCTGGCTAAACGTGAAGTTACCCCCACATCGAATCCGAACCCGGTCTACGCGTTCCCGTATCGCCAGCGGCGTGCCGTCTACCAGTCGTGCGTCGATCTCAGGTAAACATTTGTCCAGTGGCAGTCGCAGTTTTCGTGCTGTAGCGGTGTTGATGAGGCTGTGGCTGGCTCCCCCGTCTACGAAGATTTTAACTAAGTCCGTCCCGATTTTCCCACTAAGCAGTATGGGGCTGTCTACCGTAGTCCCCTCCTTATTCGGCCGAGTGTGGTCGATTGCGTGAACCGGCACAATCACTCGGTGAGGGTCGGTTGGGTCGGGCGAGCGGCGTGACCTGTCAGTAGAGGGCCCGTCTGCTACTGACTCCCAGCGTTTCCCTGCTGCTTGGTCTGTTTCTGCTGCTCAGCTTCCCCCTTCCCCTTAGCGTTTTCCGGGCATTCGCTCTTGCGATGTCCCGGCCGATTGCACGCAAAGCAGCGCCCTTTGAACGGTGCGGCAGCGGCATTTGCGGCGACGGCACGTATCGTGGCGCCCTCGTTCGTCCCACGAGGCCGATGTCCCCAATGGCTGCTTCCGTAGGACCCCGGTCTCGGTCGGCGGAAGAAATCAAGTTTCTCCGCCATAGCGAGAATTTCTTGAAAGTCGGTGACGCCGCGAAGCTGGATTTCCTGAGCGATGTCCTTCTTCAGGCCGCCGATGTAGCGGTCGATGCGCTCGCTCTCGTGCATATATCCCACCTGCTCGCTTAGCGCCAGAAATCCGCTCGTGTAGTCTTGGACGGAACCGAGTTGGCGCCAAGTGCGGAGCTTCTGTCGCGCCGCAATCGAAGCCGCGTTTGGCTCGAAACGAGCGTGTAAACCTGCGCACCACGCGTCCCACGTGCGATACTGGGGCACCTCCACGAAATACGACGGCGCCCAGGGTCCGGTTTGTCCTTCCCGTGTCGGTAGAGTCGCGTAGTCCACCGGCTTCGTGACGATGACGCGCCACCAGTCCATGGCGGGTCCTCGCAGCAACGACACGGCGTAGCGAATCTTCGCCGTATCCTCCGAGACGTAGTTCGCGTCGAAGAAGACGTTCAACGTGAAGAGCCACGCCTGAACGGTAGGACCACCCCGCTGACTTGGGTCAAAGCATGGCGGACGCTGCGGCTTTAGCGGCATCGGCGACGGAAGAGTTGATTCGCCGGCCGGCACTGAAATCGTGACTCGAGGTTGAGTCCTGGCCGCATTCGTCGCGTCGGGGTGTGTCGTGCCGTGGTCGTCGTCTCCGTCATGGCGGACGACGCCATCACTTGCGGCGCTCGCGGGTTGCCCCACACTTCCGTGCTGTGATGTCTGTGGTGCGGGCTGAATCGGAGTGCCAGGTGCTTGGGATTGTGCTCGTGTGAGGTCGTTTTGCAGGGACAAGCGTTCTGCCGTCAGCGTCGCAATTTCCTCGGCGCTCTCACGGATTTGTCGCAGCAGATCGTTCAAGTGCTCCTGCGTGAGAGTCGTGACGTCGATATGTTCAGCCATTTCGAAGGGCGTCGGCTCGTCTTAGTCTAGGCGCAGTCGTGGCTGCACGCGTTTACGAGAGAACGCGAGGACAGCGGCTCCTAGGTGCTAAGGTACGTGAGTCCCTTCGAGTGAGAAATCAAAAGTTGATTTCCTGAGGTGCGGAGATGTGCGGTCCGAAAGAAAGGGGCTCTGATACCAAGTGTTACGGGTGCAATGAATCGAAGTAGCGAGAATTGCACTAAGGTGTCAAACGAGTACAAAATGTGAGCGAAGGCATGAGCGAACATTTATACGCGAAACATGCAAACGGTAACGCGGTGCGTGCGAGCTAGCTAGTGCTACGCTGGAGCGAGGCTTGGGCTAGTCCCGAAGCGTAGGCCAACACGGCCATGCCAGCAGTGCGAGGTTTGGTGAAAACAGTGTGCGCGAAGTCGGGGAAGCCCCGTTAGCAGTAACGGGCGAACAACGGCTGTTGCTGTACGCGATGTAGTCGGGCTCCGTAAGGAATGCCGAGAAAATTCTTTACACTAAGCACAGAAAGGTGTTTGAAACTTGATTTGGTCCTTACGTTAGGTTTGGTTAGCAATGTGTTTTTAATACATGCTGGGTAGCTCAGAGCATCACTTTTACACTTTAAGGGCAGAACAGGGTAAATTACCAGGAGGACATAAGGCACCCCACAGTGTCCTGAGGAATCCGAGATTTCGCAACCCAACCCAACCCAACCCAACCCTTGCTTTTCCCCCAGCCATCATCATCACACGCAACAACAGGGGAGGGGACCACTCATCACACGGGCACCTCTTGAGTTCGTCAGACTTGAGTCGTTGATTGCTGGTTGATGTTTCTCTGAGCTGCTGTTTCTGACCACTTCATAACTGTTTCCACTGGGCTCTGATAAGTCAAGTTTTCTAGGAGCGGCCATCTGTGAAAGCCGGTGATTTGAGGGAGTGCGTTGCCATGTCGACGCCGAACAAGCGGAGGGAGATGGATGTGATGAAGCTGTGAGTTGGTGGTTGGAGTCTAGCAGATTAGGGTTTCCCGGTTCAGCAACAGGATTTGACTAATGGTGTTTTCCGAGAGTGCAGGATGATGAGTGATTATAAAGTCGAGCTTATAAATGACAGTATGATCGAGTTCAACGTCTACTTTCACGGACCTAAAGAGAGTAAGTTTTTTCCGCCTTTCTAAGTTCTGCTGCTCGTTCGGCTGCTCGTCGGATTCTTCTCACTTTGTTTTTAATACCAACGCCGGCAGGTCCATATGAGGGAGGCGTCTGGAAAGTTCACGTTGAACTCCCTGATGCATATCCCTACAAGTCTCCATCGATTGGATTCATCAATCGGATTTTCCACCCTAACGTCGACGAATCGTGAGTTGTTGTACCCGCCGTCGACATGCTTCCTATTCTCGTCGCACAGTGTGGGTAGAGCAGCGCACGACTAAAGTGTATTTCGTGTATGCATCGGCGTTTTCCAGGTCTGGCTCGGTGTGCCTAGACGTCATCAATCAAACGTGGAGTCCAATGTTCGGTGCGTGATGCGCATACCGTAACTCATCTAGGCCACCGGTTTCCCCTCCCCACCCCACCCCCTTCCATCCATTTTATCATTTCCAGTTGCTCAGTTCTCCCTACTGCTCTCCTTTTTGTCTCGCAATTCGTCTATCCATTTGCTTCTCCATTCATTCCTTCGTTCATTTCATGGCTCACGCTACCGTTCCGTCACTGCAGATTTGATCAACGTGTTTGAGGTCTTCCTTCCACAGCTCCTGCTGTACCCGAATCCAACTGATCCTCTGAATGGCGAAGCCGCAGCTATGCTCATGCGAGACCCAGAGCAATACAAGCAGAAAGTGAAAGGTAGTGCTTTGAATCCTCCCTCCTTTACTCCCCCTCCTCCCTCCTCCTGCCCTCTCTCTCTCTCTCTCTCTCTCTCTCTCTCTTTCTCTCTCTCTCTCTTTCTTTCTCTCTCTCTTTCTCTCTCTCTCTCTCTCTCTCTCTCTCTCTCTCTCTCTCTCTCTCTCTCTCTCTCTCTCTCTCTCTCTCTCCCTCTTACTCTTATCAATACTAATTTGGGTCATGGCATCGGATTGGTGCCAACTTTACTAGTGCTCGCACTATTGTGTAATCAATGGTCCCTTTGCCATCATTTCCTTCAGAATACTGCTTACGATACGGCAAGGCGGAGGATTTAGCCAGAAGGCACAAGGCGGATTCTGACGATGACGATAGCGAAGATTTGAGCGACTATGATGACAACGATGCTTCCAGCGATGAAGAGATGGCTGGGCCGACGGATTTATAAGCCGATCGCCATGGCGTTCCCGTACAGTTGCCTCTTCCAGGCAACTAGGGTTATGCTTTGCCATATGCATGCCGTGCCGCCTCTTGGCTGTCCTCCTCCTTGTAAATATGTTTCTCTGATCCATTCATCTTATAGGAGCTGCCACTTCACAGACCTTCGATTCCTTTTTATCACCTGATTCCATCGCAGATGCACCGTCGTGTCTATCACACCCTGACTTCCCTTGCTAACAGCCTTTACCCCCTTCTCGTCCTTGATCCCCTTACTGTGGGGCCTGGCGCTCTAAGCCTTGCCCCCCTCTTCCTTTCCTCCCATGGGGGTCAACTTCCACAGCCTCCACTATACTGTGTTCTTTCACAATCTACAGCACCCACATTCATCCATGTTCCTCTCCACTTCATCTCTCGCCACTCTGTTCATCCATAACGTGTTGATTCGGCTTGCCTTCAGAGGTCAAAAGTCACATGAAATGTGATTTGTCACTCGAACAGGAGGGGTGTAGCACGTCCAAACATCCAAACCACAGGCTGAGTCAGCATGTGCACCATCAACTCAACTTGTCACTCAAGGACTGTTCTCTCCCTTGACAGCTTTGTCCTACACACCCGTAGCTGTTTGTATCCATAATCTAAAGAACTACCGTAAGTACAATGCACTCTGCTTTGGCTTGGCACCACATGCCAAATAACTTATTCCACGATCCAGTGCATGCATTCCAACCCAACATCAACAACACTCTCATTTCGAGTCAATCTTGATCCAATCCCGCTGAAGCCGTTCCAGCGTTTTTGGCACAAACCCAGAGCCCCCTACCCCGAGCCGAGTCACCTTCTTCCCTTCCAGAACCGGCAGCAGCCAAGCATGCTGCATGTTGTTGCAGCCCAGGTCCAACTCCTGCAGCGCAGGAACCAAACTCAGGTGCTCCAGAAACAGCTTACTCATGCCGCTGCACTGCTGCAGCTTCAAACACTCCAACCGCTCTAGCGCTTGCAGGTGCACAGTGGCCCCTTGGGTGATTGCCGTTCCCGACAGGTCCAGTGACTTTAGCTGGGTCATGCCTCGGATCACCGATCTCACAGCCTCGGCTACTGTAAAGGTGCAGGCAGCCAGGCTGAGGTCTGTGAGCAGAGAAAGGCCACTCAAGCCCACCAGGTCGGAATCATCAAGCGCGGTGCCAGTAATGCAGAGGGTTTTGAGGTGTGTGGTGGTGGAGAGGGATCGCAGCGCTGTGGCGCTGGGTTCTGCTGCGTGAATCTCTAGGTGCTGCAGGCGCGGCAGGGCAGCCACCACGTCCCATATGCTCGCGTCGAGGCGATTTTTGGGTTCGTCGCTGGGGTCTTCGCTTGTGGCTGCAGCCCGGTTCTTGGGCGGCCTTTGGAAGGTGTGGATGATCTTTGGCAGGCGGGATAGGGAGAAGTCTAGGCTCAGATTGAAGCGGCGGAGCAACAGGGATTGGAGCAGGGAGGTAGCAGGGATTTGGTCGTTGGATCCCCAATCCTTGATTGATGGCGCCAGCAGCAGCCTCTTCAGGTTCTGCAGTCTCCTGAGACGATTCCATCCCTGCGATGTCATCCCCTTGCTGTACGTGCAGGAGAAGACCTCAAGGCGCGCCAACATCCCCATGAACTGCAGAGTCGAATCAGTCACGCGGCTCACATGCAGCTCTCGCAAGCTCTGAAACGGCTGGATAGTGCTGATGGGATCAGACGGAGCAGGCAGGTTGCCTTGACGGCTAGCTGGTAGATTGAGAACAATGGAGGGGTCAGCACACGCGATGACGAGCCTCTGGAGCCGAGACATGTGAGGGAAGAGCGGCAGAGCGTCTGAACGGACGGAAGTCTCGTGGAGGTGAAGGGCTGTGAGAGAGGGCATGCGGAGGAGCAGATTCACGGCGCATGGGGAGACGGGGTGAAGTTTCTGGAGGTTGAGAGTGGTGACGGACGGTAGCAAGCCCGGATAGCAGTGGGGAGTGAGGAAGAGGTAGCAGGCAAGGGAGAGGCTAGAGAGAGAGAGCTCTTTTGCAGCGGGGTCCGGGTGGTTCCAAAGCTGTGATACCACCCGGTTAATATCTCGGGTGGTATTCTCCATCGTGTCGGGATGGATGCTTCGTCTCTGCAAATCATCGATCCGTCTCTGTAGCCGTGCCCGCACCTCTGCTTCACTTGCTACCCGGCCGGCCCGCCACTGATATAGCCTCTCCACATGTATTCCTCCTGCTCTCCCCGCCGTGCGTTTCCCTCCTCCCTTGTGTGCGTGCCTCTCCTTCACATTCGTAACCGCTCCTCCTGAATCTTCCCTCGCGCCCCCTCTGCTCCCAGCAGTACGGGCGGCAGTAATGAGCGCAAGTAGGGGGGAAGGGGGAGGGGTGGGTGAGGGCAAGGGCGGAAAAAATAAGTGAAAATGGGGGAGGGTTGGGCCAAGGCAAAGAGTGGGAACAGGGGATAAACGAGGGAATGCGGGAGGTGCAGTCATGAATGGCTGGGTAGGAGAACTGGACGGTATGTGAGGAAGCATAGAACGTTAAAAGAGAGGGAGAAAACGGGAGGGGAAGAAAAGGGAGGAAAAGGGAGTAAATGGGAGAATAAATGAAGGAATACGGGATGGACGGAAACAAGAGGGGATAGTAAGCAAGTTGCAGGTGAGGGTCTCTTGAAAAATGAGGATGTTAGTTACATTTCCAGGTAATAACTGTCGTACCCCTCGCCCCGCTCACCTGCACCATGGAAAGATTGTCTACAACTTCCTCTTGCATGGCTGCCTCCCTGACAACCGCTTGCCTCACTGACTGTGAGTCCACATCGGCCAGTCGCCCCTCCCCTGCCCTTCGCTCTGCCCCTTGCGCTGGCTCCCGCTCCCCCCTTTGCGCTGCCCCTTGCTCTGCCTCTTGCCCTGCCCATTGCCCTGCCCCTTGCCCTGCCCCTTGCGCCACCCCTTGCGCCACCCCTTGCCCTGCCCCTTGCGCCACCCCTTGCCCTGCCCCTTGCGCCACCCCTTGCCCCGCCCCTTGCTCTACTCCTCGTTTCGCCCCTTCCTCTGCTGACCCTATGCCTCGTCCTTCCCCTCCATCCGCTTCGTTCTCGTGCCCCTCCTCTGCACCGTCCCTTCCTCTTTCCTCTTGCTTCAACCCTGGCTCTTCCTTAAGTCCTCGCCTCCATGTCTCGTTCTCCGAACCCGCAAGCCCATCTCCCATCGCCTCTTCCATCCTCTGCGTCGTTTCCTCTACCGCGTCCCTCACCCCCTCTTCCTGCGCCTCCTCTCCCTCCCCCTCCTCGATCTCCATTGCCCATTGATCCCCCCCGTCTTCTTCTTTCCCCTCTTTCATTCTATCCGCATGAGCCTTGTTTTGAGCCGCCTCAGAAGTAGCCTCTCCCTCTTTCTCCTCTGTCATTCTACCCGCATGAGAATTCCGGTTTTCAAGTCCGAACGACAGCATCCTCACTGCCTGCACCATTGAACGGAAGGCCTCCGCGTGACCATTCAGAGCCGTTAGATGCTGCCACGTGGGTGATCCGACGAAGGGATTATTAGGAAAGGAATGGGCAAGGGAAAAGTCGGATGGCATGCACTGGAGATGGGTAAGGGCATGCACTGGACAAGACATGCCCGGGCATTGCTGGTGTGGCATAGGCCGCGCGATTACCTCCGTCATATAGTGTGGGTGTGTAATATGGGGCATGGCGTTGCACGTGCGACATGGACGATGAGATGTATGGCATGGGATGGGATGGGATGGTAGGGCATGGCATCGCATGGCTTGGCATGGCTTGGTATGATGGCGAAGCGTGTCGTGGCCTGGCGTGAGCGTGGCATGTGCTGTGCGCACTCACCTCCATCATTATCACCGGATGCGACGGAGAGCCATCCATCATGCGCGCGCGCTTGCGCGCTCCCTCGGCCTGAGACAGCACCGCTTCCCTCAGCCACCCCTCTCGGAGCACAGTAGCGAGCGACGACATCGCATCCACCTTCCGCCCAATCCGCTCCTCCAGCTCCCGCATCGCCTTCTTGCCTTCCCTCACCACTCCTTCCAGCTCCTCTTCCCGCCGCCTTCCTTCCGCTAAAGCCTCCCGCGCTTTCTTTAATTCATTCCCGCATTCCCTCTCGTCCTTCCGCTCCTGCTCGTTCCTCCCCGCGTTTCCGGCGTGTGAAGTGGTGTCCATTCGATCTGTCAAGTCCTTCGCGGCGTCGTTACCCTTCGCACGGCGCGTCGTGGTTATTCGCGGACCAGTCACCTGGGAGTGAACACAGGCTTTTTACAGGGCGAAGTCACCACCGGCGAGGGGTGAATTCTCGGCTCGGCGAGGAGAGAAGGGTTCCCGGTTGGGAGGATTGTCAGGTTGCTATGCGATAAGCTTGCGTGCAAAGCGCGTAGAAGAAAAACGGCAAGAAATGAATGACGAAATGACGGAACGCCGCTACGGAGCAATAGTTGTTCACAAAGGGCGGCGCGGAATAGTAAAGGATAATTGTTTTGTTTCGTCGTGCTTTCAATAGCAAAAAAGACGGGAAGCCATTAGGACCGTAGACGGGCAAAGTCTATCGAAAAGATTACTGTTCTCAATAAGAACGGCTTCGCAAGTTGGGAGGATTGTCGGGTGGTGTGGCGAGCTTGCGGATAAAGCGTATGGAGTGGAAAGGTTGCAGTGGTGAGGGAGAACAGACGCACTCTTGCACAAAGGCGCGATTCAATGTGGGAGAAAACCGGTGACATCCGTTTCAGAACGTCACATAGAAAGCGTCCTCACAAGTGACGCGGCGCCGTGGTCTCCAATTGTATAATTCAAAATCTAAGTTTCAAACCCACTTTAATGAACTCTCTTTTGGTTACAATGAGGTGTTAAAAAAGGCATGAGTGCATACAACACGTGTTTCTGTCTAAAGAGAAGGAACCTAATGTATGAGAGGCAGGAAACGGTGAAACGGGGTGGATACCCAAAACCCTGAAGTCTTGACTTATTGTTGTCTTGAATTACTATGTTTACTTCTGCGTCTGTGCTGTCCCAGCCTATCAAATGTTGGATGTTGTTCGTGGAGAAGCATTTGCACAGAGGCCAACTTGTTACTACTTCCACCATACAAGTCACACATACTTTCTTGATCCTATCCTTCCAGAGAATCTGCTGTGTGCCTAGTTGACGGCCAGTCATCTCTAGCTCAGAGGTTGAACCCGTAGCATGACTGACTGTCAACTGGGAACGGATAACCTGATTCTGTAAGTAATCCTTCAATTTGGGCTGTTCGCACGCTCAAGGATTTACACCTTGGTGTTCGTGGGAACCAGGACTTTATCCACACCGTGAGCGATGAAGTACGGCCCAGCGTACAGCCTGACGATCTTGATCGTGGTCCAGGCGGCAGGGGGCGCGTTGGGCGTCTTGGCGAAAGAAACCGTGTTACCATTCTGCTGCGAAACCTTGTACATCGCCTGCTTCAGCTGCGTGCCGATCGGCTGCGACTTCTTGAGCACCTTGAGCGCGGGAACGGTGTACTTCTTGCGGATGATGTGGTACGCCGTGATGTTGTAGATTCTGGGGATGTTGGCTTTGTTAACGGGGACCTTCTTAGCGAGAGCCTCCGCCTCTGTGTCGCTGGGGAGGAGCAGGGTTGCGTCGCTGAGTGCTGTGAAATCGTACTTGGAGTTCACTGAAGGGGGGTGAGGGAGAGGAAGAGGCAGAGAGAGAGAGCGGGAACAGAGAATAAGAAATGGTTCGATGGCTGGCCAAAATCTATAGCTAACGTACGTGGAAACGGGATGCAAATGGGAGGATGGTCAGAGGCGAGGAAGAAGACATGGTTCTGAGCTAATCGAAGGAATCAAAACAGGACGCGGAACGAAGAGGTTCGGAGTCGACGTGCATAGAGAAGCGTGGGCAGTTTGCCGCGTGGAAGAAGACTGAGAAATAGGCTAGCATGAGATCTCGACGTTTCGGGAGTTCTGATTTAAAAGTAAAAGATAAAGAAAGAGAGTTCTTACGTGCGAGGCCGATGTACTTGTTGATGTCCTTGGCGTATTTCGCGTATTGCGGAAACTTCTTAGTAATGGCGTTCGCCATTTTCTGAAGCTCCGCTTTTATTTGCGCCTTGGTGGGTTTCGCCGGCGCCTGGGCGTGCGCGCTCGCGAAGCACAGCACGATGCAGAGCAGCCCTAGGAGAGAGAGGTATCGTGAGCTGGCCATGTTCGGGAAAAAAAAACCACGATCGTACTGAAGGAAACAGTTTCCGTGCAAAGGGAAGATCGGTACGAAGATGTGGAGGTGTGGGTGGCTGGCGAATCTGAAGCGAGCGAGTGGCTTCGATCAAGAGGGAAGTGAAATCGATCAGAGGCTGTTCAGGTCAGGTGAGTCAAGGTGAGGCACGAAAGAATTTGATGAGAGTTGGAGGAGCACGGAAACTGTTTTATAGGTGTGGAATGGGGCTGGCTGGGGACGGGAGCGCGTCAACAAATACCGACATGCGGCGCGAGAAGCGGTGATGCAGCTCAGGCGAAGTTACATTTTCGGTGACGACTAGGCTTGAATTCGTCGTGCTGGAATTTGGGAGACGGGGCAACTGAGCAGTACAGTACTTGTCGCCAATGAATTGGGGGGCCCGGAAAATGTCGCGAAGCTCGTTGACGGATAGTGGTGGTGGCTGTCGGTTGAAGTCGCGGTCCGCGTGAAGCTGGCGACTTCAACGACATTCCTTCCGTCACCGAGGCAACGTTTATCGTCCTGCTCTATAGAAGCATTTTCACTAAAGAGGAGACATGCTATAACACTGTGAAAATCCGCTTGATACATGTTTCATGCCTCCAAACCAATTATCAAAATGGAAACTGCACCTCTGGAATCCAAAAACGTTAGCTTAGATCCACAAAATATACACCCCTGTACATACATACACTGCTCTACCATCTACAGAAAAACGCCACACAAAAGCACAAGTTTGGCACTCCAATGCACTAGCTGCAGCACAACAAATCATCACTATCACTTGAATGTTGCCATTTTGCGAAACGGCACCATGCGCTTCCTAAAGCAGGGAACAGAGGAAGGGCAGGGGAACACAGGAGGCGTTGGTACTTCAAAATTCAGTGACAAATAGGCTCCATTATTGAAAATGGGAATGGGACAAGAGTATAGGAGCACAGGAAGCGGAGATGGTCCACTCCATCTACCTAGATGGGGTACAGGGCGAGGATAAGTGATGGTTGGGAATGGGGACAAGGCGAATGGGGTTGGGTATGGTGTGCTGCTGGGGACCATATGGGGGAGGGGGGAGGGGGGAGGGAAAAGGGGGGAATGTGTGGGAGCCTTGGACCTAGTGGGTGAGCGGGAATCAGGAAGGAGCGAATCAGGATGGCGCAAGTGTACACATAAATGTGCGAGTCTACTCACTTTGGCGAAACCAACCCAAACGCGCCGGATGAGTCTTTGGGCTTGCTCGTCGCCGCCTGGGCGTCCGTCTCTTCAGCCGCGCTCCGCCCTTCCGCGCTTCCCCTCCCCTCCTCGCTCTCGCACTCCGCAATGGGTTCGGCCGCACCCAGAGAAACAACCTCACTCGAGTCAGAGACAGCTGCGGAGCCAAATCCGCCAATCGTAGGCTTCCCTGACAGAAACTGCGCGGAAGACTTGGCAGCAGTCGCATTGTTATCCCCGCTAGAAGCCTGCGCCTTATCCGCCGCTTTAAACGAGAACCATTTTGAGAAGCGACGGGAGGGCGTGAGCGGGGGGGCGATGCCCCCGCTGGGGGCAGTCGGGGCTGCGGAGGGGAGGGCAGAGCAGGAGAGCGGGCCGTGATCAGCGGAGGCGGCGGGGTCCGACTCGGGGACAGTGAGCGCGGGGAGGAAGGGCAACCCTCCGCCTGAGGATTTTCCGCGGATGCGGAAGGAGCGCGCGGAAATGAGGGAGGAGAGGGCGCCGGTGCTCGTGCTTTTGCTTATGGTTCCGCCGCTGTTCGCCGCGCGCGCTGCATCTTTATGCGGAGCAGCGCCGGTGCTGGTGCTGACGGGCGTCACGGTGTCGCTGTTAGGAGTTGTGCCTGTTGCGGATTCGAGGGAGAAAAGCCCGCTTGCGCTTGTGCTCTTACGAATGCCGCCGCCGACACCGCCGCCATTGCTGCTGCTGCTCGGGGCGTTCAAGCTTTCAGCGGTTTCAGCGCTCGGAGCAGGGGCGATGGCGGTGGCGCTGGTGTCGCTAACAATGGCAGTGGCTGTTGGGGTGACGACTACAGCACTTTCCGCCACCGCGCTCTCCGCCTCCGCGCCCCCCACCACCACGCGCTCCGCCTCCGCGCTTTCCGCCTCCGCGTTCTCCGCCTCTGCGCTCTTAGTTTCCGCGCTCTCCGCCTCCGCGCTCGACTCTGCGCTTTCCTCTTTCGCGGACTCCTCTGTCGCGGTCTCCGCCACCGCGACCTCCGCCACTGCGACCTCCGCCACCGCGACCTCCGCCGCTTGCGTTGATTCTTCAGTCGACTCCACGCCTCCGCCGTTTCAGGCGTTTCCGCAAATTCCGCTGGCGCTTCCGTCGAACTTTGCGTTTCCGTCGATTCTGGCGTTTCCGCTGGTTCTGTGCTTTCCTTCGTTTCTGTCGTTTCCATCGCGGCTTCCGCTGTGTTTGCCGCTTCCGCACGCTGCCGCGCGGCCGCCTCTCGAGCCGCTTCCTCGATCATCATGATCTGCCAGAGCACTCGGCTCTCCTCGTCCTCGTCGCCCGACTCGAACACCTCGCTCTCCGCGATTGCCGCCATGGCTCCGGCTTTACTCAACACGCCGCCGTCCATATGGTCCCACGGATGCGTCGCTAGGCCCAACGAAGCTGACGAGGCGGTTGCGTGGCTGTGGGAGCTGAGTACGTCAGTCATGGTAGAGCGAAGGTAGAGCGGAGGTAAAGCGGAGGTAGAGCGGAGGTAAGGCGGCAATAAGGCGGTCAAAGATGACTCGGAAATGCCTTGGAGTCCAAGCCCCCCTGTGGTAGTTTCTCGTTCAGAAACTCTCTCCAACGAACTCGCCGTTCTAAGGAGGCACTCCGAAGGAAATGGAACCACACAACGTGTGCTTGGGGCTCAGAAGGACACTTCCGCACGTGTTTTCGCTCCTGGTTAGGCAGCGATGAGGGGCAAATGAATCTCTAGTTCCACACACGCACCACAGGAACAGGCACACAGCACAACGTTTTCCTTGCATTCCCCTCCAAATCCATTCTGGACTGGAGGCCTGGGTTTTGAGGGAGGATGCGATTGGCAGCTGGTGCAGAGTACACCCTTCAGCGGGCGAAAGTCTGGCTGGCTCTGTTCCTTGTGAAGCCCGAAACGCATTTGTGAGTTTTGTGTATCTTGCGCGGCTGGTGCGATTACATTCACGGCAGCGCGAATCGTATCGCATGTTCGCACGTTTTGTAGAGATTGTTCGTTTCGCAAGAAACATCGAGAGGGTGAACTGCGAGGTCACAAGCGTTCGCAATGTTGCTGCGAGCTTCGCACTCGCCCCTTCGTGAACCCTAGGTGGGGATGAGCTGGGTATGTGTTGGAACAACTGTAACGGCCAAGTCTAGCGGATTTTTCATTGGCTCCCAGAAGCGATATGAATCACGACACGGAAGATCCAAGTCGTGTGCCCTTGGCGACGGGCATTGGCTGGGTGAAACTCGCTTGCACCGATGAAGACCGATTTGCGTGGCGGAGAGTAACCCAAAATGTGGAGGTCGCATCTCCACCCATCAAGTGTGATACACGTCAGATACTCATGAATGTGATGCAGCATCTCAAGCAAGATCAGCCTGAATACTCCACTGAAACAGGAATTCGTTTGAAGAAACTCGATACTGTGTTGCCAGAGCAGCCATCACAAACGAATATATAGATGTTCACACTATGCTATCTTTCAATCTCTAGCAAGCTCCAACACCTCGACATCAAAATCTACTCCTCGCACCACCCCTTCCAACAAGCCTGAAACCTGCGTAAGCTCCAACTGACGATAACCATCAGCCTGCACATTTCGCAACCCTATATCATCACCTTCCAACCCATTGGCCTCACCATTTTCAACATCATCATCACTATAGACATCCTCCACCGTATGCTCATATGAGGATCTCACCGAATCAGCAACGTAAGGCTCGCGATCAACGCCACCATAATCACTCAAATTGCCGCTATATGTGGTGGAAGATGCAATGTCATCCCCCGAAGGGGGGAGGAGCGGCAAAGGCCGTATGTGCCAGTCTATTGGATGGTTGGAGATGGGTGGGCGGGGTATGTGCATAAGTAGAGAGTCATGGGTTGAGTGCGGTGATCGGGGGGTGTGGGGAAGAGGGTGTGAGGAGGAAGAGGAGGAGGGGAGTGGGGAGGTGAGGTAGCGACCCCACTTTTGCAAGAGGAAGAACCTTGAGGGGAGGGATAAGAGGGACCAGGAAGAGGGGGTGATGTGATGTATGGAAGGAGAATTGGCATGGGAGAGTGTGGGTAATACAGGCGATGGTGTGGTGGGACGATTGCAGTGACATTGCATGAGATACGCATGGGTGCAAAAGGGGTTGGATGGGTGCATTTACTGATGGTACCAAAAAGAGTAACAAGATGCAGTGCCAGGTGTACGTAACGCAAACACCCATTTCATGCGCGTGCATAACAAGTGTATTATGAGGGAAACTTATACGCGGAAACGAGTGTAGTTGAGTGGTGTGTACCATTGGATGAGAGCCACGAGCAGCACAGAGGAGAAGATGGAGGGGATCCAGATGTTGGGGTGGAACTTGAGGAACCTGATGGTGTATGTGTGTGGGGGGGAGGGGGAGGGGGAGAGGGGGAGAGGGGGGGGGCATGTGCAGGATGTGTGGCTTTTGAGACGCCTCAGAAGATGGAGGGGATCCAGACGTTGGGGTGGAACTTGAGGAACCTGATAGTGATGGTGTTGTGTGTGTGTGTGTGTGTGTGTGTGTGTGTGTGTGTGTGTGTGTGTGTGTGTGTGTGTGTGTGTGTGTGTGTGTGTGTGTGTGTGTGTGTGTTGGTGGGGCGGTAATGTATGGAAGGGAGAACTTCATGGGATGCATGGGGATCCAGATGTTGGGGCGTGTGTGTGAAACATGCCCACAATTCTGTCTCAAGAGGAATGTGAGACATCAATGGAACAAATACATCTGCCATGCCACCCACACCTGCCATGCCACCCACACCTGCCATGCCATGCCATGGGACGAACTCACGCCATGGACGCAAGCAGAGGTGACTTTCAAGTCGACTCAAAAGTCATGCCACCCACACCTGGCATGCCATGCCATGCCATGGGAGGAACTCACGCCATGGTGGCAAGCAGAGGGAAGAAGAAGGTGATACCTGCATAAAGAGGGAGAGGGAGGGTGGGGGTTGGGGGAGTGAATGCAGGAGGGGCTTGGGAAAAGTGGAGCGGAAGAGGAGAGGCGGGGGAGGGTATGGAGCTGGTGTTGCAGTGAGGAGGTCCAATCCAGCACAAAGTGGGTTCCATGGTTTCAATACGTGGCAGCGGCTCGTAGGAAAGACACCCTGAAAGTTGTTTTGTAAGCTTGTTTAAAAAAAAAAAGGAGGGGCGGGGGGGGGGGAGGGGTATGGAGCTGGTGCTGCAGTGTGGAAGGGGGGGAGAGGGAGTGGGGGGAGGGGGGGCTGGGAAGTCCGTGGGAAACCTGGAATGGAGATTGGGGCTGGGAGTGGGGAAATTCCACTGCCCACTCCAAGTGGCGATTGGCGATTCCACTTGAAAATGCAAGTGGCGATTTTTGTGATTTGAATGTGAGCGCATGGCTATTGTAACACCATGCCAATAAGCCACGCCATGCTGTGACACGCACGAGTCTGAGTCGTTTCACTCTCTCTGTGCATTTGAGACGTCTCAAAAAGTCTGTGTCGTTTCACTCTCTCTGTACAACAAGTGGAAAAGGCGGCTGAATCTGAATGACGGAGGGCAAGCAGACTTTAAATCCAGCCGCCTTTAGGTGAATCTGAGACATCTAGAAGCTCAGATCCATTCCATATAGCAAGCTTCAAAACCTGAGTTCTTTCATCCCCTCCCCTCCCCTCCCCTCCCCTCCCCTTCCCTCCCTTCCCCTTAACTCCCCTCCCCTTCCCTCCCCTCCTCTCCCTCCTCCCCTCCTCTCCGTTCCCCTTCCCTCCCTTCCTCTTCCCCCTCTCTCCCCTCGCTGCCCTTCTCTCCCGAACCCTCGCGTCATATCCTTAAAACTTGGAAAGGCACTGGAACTAGGCATTTGAAATGGCTGCGGCTTCCTCACACACAGCTTCGTTCTAGTGACTGGACTCTATTTACCTTACCCAGTTTTGCGGTGCCTCAAAAATCGTCTCATTTCACGTATCATGAGTCATCACAGCCGCTTTCTAGTGACCAGACGGTACTTACCAGCAGAAAAGAGGCGGAAGGTCAGCCGCCAATCAGACTCGCATCTGGATTGAGAGGAAGTGAGAGAGGGGAAGTGAGGATACCAAGGGAGGGGAGGTGTGAGAACAGAGGGGGTGAAAGAAAGGATAGGAGGGAAAGGGTAGGAGGGAAAGGGAAGAGAGGATACGAGGGGAGTGGAAGGGAAGATACAAGGGGCGAGAAGAGAGAAAATCATGAGGGGTGTATGCAGAAGAGGAAGAGGGAATACAGGATGTAAAATCAGGTTGGGAAGGGAGGGAACAGGACGGAAGAGTGGAGAAACGAGGAAACGGAGGATACAAAAGCGAGAAAATGATTCCATGCATCTGAGGCCCTGACGGTGATCGTTCACATAAGGCGACTATTGCAGCGCTTCAAAAGTCATCTCATATCTCGCAGTCTTTTTATGAGCCTCAAAAGTAGTTGTATGAGGCTCATAAAAAGACTGATCACCGTCATCTCATGTCTCACCGCCGTCTAATGTCTCACCGTCATCTCATGTCTCACCGCCGTCTAATGTCTCACCGTCATCTCATGTCTCACCGCCGTCTCATGTCTCACCGCCGTCTCATGTCTACTTACGAGTTAAGGGGTTTCTTGTACTACTTCAATTTCTGGGAAGTTTTTTACAGTTTCGTTCCTTACAGTTGCTTAAGCGTTTTCTTCAGGATTTGCAGCTATTCCGATATGAGTTTGGATTCTGTCTCACCGCCGTCTCATGTCTCACCGCCGTCTCATGTCTCACCGCCGTCTCATGTCTCACCGCCGTCTCATGTCTCACCGCCGTCTCATGTCTCGCAGTCTGAGGCCCCGACGGTGATCAATCACCTGAGGTCCCAGAAGCGGTCAAAGCTCCTCAAGGCAGCTGGTGGGGCGGCAATTGTCGTCCTGTTGCCGCCCGCTGCCGCCCGGTTGAGTGCAAAGTAGCGGGCAGAGGCGAGAAACTCCTCCTCCTCCCTCTCGTGCACGTAGAGCTTTCCCATCCTCAGCACTGCTCCCAGCACGAACACTGCTATCATTGCCGCCACCACCATCAGTGATGGCTGGAGGATATGGGGGGAGAGGGCGGATGGAAAGGGGGGAGAGAAGGAAGGGAGGGGAGAGGGGCAGGGGCAAAGGAGCATATCCACCTCTGCATGTGCACCCCACATCATGTGCATGTGCGTGTGCATGTGCATGTGCATGTGCATGTGCATTCGCGTGTGCATTCGCATGTGCATTCGCATGTGCATTTACCTCTTCCTCTGCCAGTGCATGTGCATGCCTATCCAAAAAACTCACCACGAGAGCAGTGCAGAGGGCGTATGCCGTGACAAGGGCCTGCCGGGGTAGTGTGAGGGGAGGCATGTGCTCTGCCTGTACCTGTACCTGTACCTGTACCTGTACGTCTGCCTATCCAATCCACACCAACTCACCACGAGAGCAGTGCAGAGGGCGTATGCCGTGACAAGGGCCTGCCGGGGTAGTGTGAGGGGAGGCATGTGCTCTGCCTGTACCTGTACCTGTACCTGTACCTGTACGTCTGCCTATCCAATCCACACCAACTCACCACGAGAGCAGTGCAGAGGGCGTATGCCGTGACAAGGGCCTGCCGGGGTAGTGTGAGGGGAGGCATGTGCTCTGCCTGTACCTGTACCTGTACCTGTACCTGTACGTCTGCCTATCCAATCCACACCAACTCACCACGAGAGCAGTGCAGAGGGCGTATGCCGTGACAAGGGCCTGCCGGGGTAGTGTGAGGGGAGAGAGCAAGGGAGGGCGAGTGGAGGAAGTTGGGAAGGTGAGCGCGAAATGGGGTGGGTCAGATCAGAGGAGGGGGAAGAGGAGTGTGGGGAGGGTGTGCGACCTGTATACTGGGGGGGGGGGGGGTGTGGGTAATGTATGCATGGAGTGGAGAAAGACGCACGCGTCCTGCGTCTGGACGCAGCGTCCAGACGCAGAGACGCAGGACGCACCCCGTATTTTTTTCGGGCTGACCGGAAAAAAAAAACAAAATTGCCCCAGCGCGAAATTGACTCTAACGATTTCGACGCGACTGTCAATTTCGCGTCATGTCGACCCCCCCTAACCCATTTCGACCATCAAAAACACCCTAGAGGGTTTACCAAGACAATTCTCCTTCGTAAACCCGAAACCCTGAAATTTTGAAGGGGACGATTTTGCCTCAAATGTGTGCATCGTCGTCCCCCCCCCCCCCCCCCCCCCTTCCCATACCCTATAACATCATTTTTCGGCTGCCTGGGGGTTTTTTTTGCCCTGCCCGGGCATGCGTCTTTTCATGCGTCCTAAAGGCCCTCCTCTAGCGTCCTGTGTCTAAGACGCTGCGTCTGGACGCAAGCATCCTCGACGCTGGACGCGCCTTTCTCCAGTCACCATGCATTTGCTTCCCTACCATAGGCACGCCGCACCCATGGCGTATGGATGCATCATCACTATGGGGTAGACATGGTGATGCATCATCACTATGGGGTAGACATGGTGATGCATCATTCCCTTCCCACCATGACTGCCAGCCAACGTCTCTATGATGAGTCGAGCACAGCACAGCGATGCACATTCCAGTGCAGAGTGGTGGAGTGCGGTGCAGTGCATCACCATGGGTGCATCGGGGTCACTGTATGTGAACTCCACGGGGGCAGTCATGGTGAATCCGCCCACTTTAGCCGCCAGCCACGCCATGGCCCTCGTGTGCTCCCCTCCACAGCAAACTTCAGTGTGGTGGAGCACCAGAGTACAGTTTAGTGCAGTGGAGTGCGGTGCAGTGCGGTTGAGTGCGGTACATTACCATGGGAGCATCGGGGTCGCTATATGTGAATTCTACAGGAGCAGTCATGGTGAATCCGCCCACTATAGCCGCCAGCCACGCCATGGCCCTCATGTGCTCCGCCTTCTCCTCCACGCTTCGCCTGTTGCACTCCTTGGTGCTGGTAACGTGAAGGAAGAGGGAGTGTGAGAGAGGGTGTGGGACGAGGAGTGGTGCGTTGGTGTGCCACGCCATGCCATGGCCCTCATGTGCTCCTCTCCGCTTTCTCCTCCACGCCCCACCTGTTGCACTGCACTCCTTGGTGCTAAAGGCAGGGGGGAAGGGGTTCGAAAGGGCAAGGGGTGAGAGGGGAGGGAAGCGAGAGAAGGAGTTGGGTGTCAACATGCCATGCCATGGCATGGCCCTCCTGTAGGTGAGAGTGGGTGAGAGAAAGGGCAAGGGAGAAGTGGGGAGTTGGGTGTCAACATGGCATGCCATGGCATGGCCCTCCTGTAGGTGAGAGTGGGTGAGAGAAAGGGCAAGGGAGAAGTGGGGAGTTGGGTGTCAACATGGCATGCCATGGCCCTCATGGGCTGTCCTCCGAGCAAGCTCTTGATCCAGCCAACTCATGTAGAGGATGGCAAAGACTGGAGCTGCTGGAGTCCCCATTGCTGTCCCCTGAATCTGTCTATATACAACATGATCAAACATGGCAGTTGGGTGCCAACACGCCATGCCATGGCCCTCATGTGCTCCTCTCCACTTTCTCCTCCACACTCCGCCTGTTGCTCTCCCTCCTTGGTGCTGGTGGCGGGGGGAGAGAGTGGGTGAGAGAAAGGGCAAGGGTTGGGAGAAGTGGGGAGTGGGTGTTAGTGTGTCATGCCATGGCCCTCATTTGTTCCTCTCTGCCTTCTCCTCCACGCTGCGCCTGTTGCACTCCTTGGTGCTGGCGGGGGGAGGAGAAGAGGGAGGGGAGAGAGACGCAAGGAGGGCTGAGAATGGGAGAGGAATTAGAGACACACTAACGCCATGGGAGAGGCCTATTACTGACAAAAGCCAGGGTTGAGAATGGGAGGGAATGCGAGACAACCAGAGACTGTACTCACCACGTCTCTTAGTGACAAGTGCATTTGCATTTCCACCGCTCTGAAACCCATGTCTCTCCCATTCATCCTCCTCCCTATACCCCCTCCCTTCCAGGCTTCCCCCTACCCTGCCTCGTCTTCACAACTCCTCCCCAAATGCACCGCATCGAGACGTTTTTCCAAATGCACCGCATAAAGACGCTTTTTCAAATGCACCGCACAGAGACACTCCTAAGATACACTTGACTCTGCTGCGCCTCCTCCTTACCGATCCCACAGGTGCATGGCGTTGTCCACGTGGCGCTGCTGCATTATCTCGTGGCGCCACCTGGCGAAATGGCATTGGAGGAGGGGGACAGGCGTGGAATAGGACTTAGATTTTTTCTCGAACAGACAGGCTATTCATTGTGAAACGGGCTGATACGAACGCTTGTTAAGAACACAACCGTTAGAGAGGCATACCCGCTACGCACCCGTTAAAAATACACCCGCTAGAAGCACACCCGTTAGAGGCACACCCGCTAGAAGCACACCTGTGCCGCACAGCGCGGAACATCCGCTCCTCCGCTTTAAATCGCCTCTCCTCCGCGCGGAACGCGATGTCATCCGCGCGCCACCGGCGCAGCTCTTCGCGCCACCGGCGCTCCTCCTTCCGCCAATCCCGCGCCGTCCACGTGTCCAGCGCCGTGAGCGCCGCTTGCGCCATGACGGCCGCGACACGTCGCTCTTTTCTTGTACGCGCGCTGCTGCACGACGAGCATTGATAGGGTTCTGAGACGGGCTTTAAGTGTCAGCGTCGCGCGCCATTGCTGCGACGGGCAAATCATAGGGTTGCTGGAAACGAATTTTAACTTCCTCCTTGAATACCCCTGCGCGCGAGTGTGTGAAGTGAAGGAATATATTAGAGAGCGTAGCGATAGCGAGAGAGTCTCTGCTATGGGAATGATGTTGCGCCAGCAACTTGGTAGAGTTTTGGTAGCGTTTGCCTCTAAGGACTTTGTGAGAATTGAAGTAGCATTTGGGCCAAGTAGAATTGCAATATCAATTATCAAACACACAAGCAAACACAAACATATATAGGCAAGCAAGAGTTGCACAATTGTTGCGTGGCGCTGCGAGTAACCCAACCCAGACGAAAGTGCTGTGCAGGTGGGTGAACGCGCCCCGCACATTTCCAACCCAACTCGGCACCGGAATGTCTCACCGTGCACGCTACTCCTGTCAACACAGCAAGTGAGCAGCGTGCCTCACAAGCAAGGCACCTACGACCCCCAAGACTCGTCATTCCTAGCACCGATTCCGCCGAGTTCGCTGCAGTAGCTCACAGTCACCCGTAGTCACTAATGACCGCCACCGAACTCGTGCGTCGGTGCCGAGTAGACTCAGTCGTTAGGCGCCGACCTGCCAAGTCAAAGGTCATCGAGGGCCCTTGCTGTCGTAGGGCCCTCTAACACTCCCCTGCCATACTACAGCAAGGCCCTTTATAATCACAGGGCATGCATACACACATACACACCAAAACAAAGGGATACACAAACGAAACACGCTCAAAGTGTAAACACGCACCGCACCAGCCATGGATAGGCCATGGCACCATCCACATCATGGAGTGTCTAGGTCTCACTCCCCTCGCTCGAGAGCCGCACCTGCCCCACAGCCTCGAAGCAACGACTGAAGGCGGGGAAATGCAATGCCTTTGTGAGGTAGTCAGCAGGCTGCTCGCTCGTAGGGATGTACTGCAGCTGCAGCTTCCTGCGCTTGACCATGTGCTGCAGCCACATGTGACGACGCTCCATGTGCTTGAGGCTCCCCTTGAGCCCCATGCCACATGCCACTGAAATGGCGGAGGAGTTGTCCACAAAGAGAGTCGTGGGCTCCTCACTCCTCAGCAGTTGAAACTCTGCCAGCAGGAAGCGCAGCCTGCGCGCCTCCTTCCCAGCCTCCACAGCAGCAACGTACTCAGACTCAGTGGAGGAAAGGGTGGCGCAACGAATCCGCTGGCTCGCCCATGAGACAGCAGCACCCCCGAGCACGAAGACATAGCCACCTGTGCTGGTCCTGTTCTGCTTGTCCCCTGCATCATCAGCATCGGCGTAGCCCACCAGCTCCAAGGACTCCGGCCCACCACCAAACTCCAGCGCCACATCCCTGCTCCCCACCAAGTACGTCAAGCACCGGTCCAACTCCTTCCAGTGCTGATCACTCCGCACAGTCTGGCCCGACCCCAGCTTGCTGCAGGCGAACGAGATGTCGGGACGGGTGGTACAGGCCGCGAACTGCAAGGATCCCACCTTCTGCCTGTACTCCTCCTCCTGGCGAGACTGCCATCCCACATCCTCGAAGGTCTGCACACTGAAAGGGTCAGAGGAAAGAGGGGTGCGAGGCACTCGCAGCGGCTGCTCCCCGTCAAAGAAGCGCCTATGGACCTTGTCCACATAGGCCCCCTGGTGCAGCCACAGCCTCCTCGTGGGCCTGTCCCGAATCAGCTGCAACCCCAGATATTTCTCCACAGGGCTAATCTCCCGCAGCTGAAAGGCACTCTGCAGCAGGTCACGCAGCTCCGCTAGCATGCTCTGACTGCGGCTGGCAGCAAGCAGGTCATCCACATACACCAGCAGCCAGCACATCTCCCCCTCAGCATCAGTCTTGAAGTACAGAGCCTCACCCACCTTGCTCTTCTTCCATCCAGCCCCAAGCAGCACCCCATCCAAGGCCTCATACCATAGCATCGGGCTCTGCTTGAGCCCATACAGACTCTTCACCAACTTACAGACACGAGGAGTCCCATCCTCGTAGTAGCTCGGCTGCTCCATGTAAAGGTCTCGGTCCAGCACGCCATGGAGGAACGCGTTCTTCACAACGAGCTGCATCAGGTCCAAATCAAGTGCAGCTGCAATCGCCAGAAGCACACGCGCCGTCACATAGCTTCCCACAGGGGCGTACGTCTCCTCATAGTCCACCCCTGCCACCTGCGTGAACCCCTTCACCACCAGCCTCGCCTTCTCACGCTCCACTATCCCATCAGGTCGGAACTTGGTGTTCAAAATCCAGCGGTTCTTCATCACATTCACCCCTGGCGGACGCGGAACCAACTCCCACGTCCCCTGCTCAATCAAGCTCCGCATCTCCTCATCCATCGCCTCCTTCACCTTGTCTCCCCTCCAGCAGCCCAAGGCCTCCTTCACTGTCATTTTCGCTATGTCCCACTGCCTCTCAGGATCAGCTGCCACGTCCGGGTCCAGGTTAGTCCACTCCTCGTCCTCCTCCTTGTCATCCAAGCCCGCTGGCTCAACCACTACAGCCCAAGCGTATCGAACAGGCGGGACACCACGAGTGATGCGAGTGGAGCGACGCAGTGGTGCAGTGGTCGTCCCAGAAACCAACACACGACCACCATCTCTAATTCCCCACATCTCCTGCTCCCCTGTCTGCGGCTCCCCTGTCTGCTGCTCCCCAATCTGCTGCTCCCCTGTCTGCTGCTCCCCAATCTGCTGCTCCCCTGTCTGCTGCTCCCCTGTCTCCTGCCCCCCACTCTGCTGTACTCCATCCATACTGCTCTCGTCCTGCAACTGCTCAGTCTCAAGGCGCTGCCCGTCGGTGATCTCCACAGACGGTGGCACCTCCATCCCCCCCTCACCAACGGGCGGCGCCGTGGAAGACGAAGAAGAGGGCGGAGCAGGTGCAGGAGGGATGGAGGGTGGAAGGGGAGATGGAATAACAGGAGGAGGAGGGGAAGCCAAGGGGGGTGAGGAGGAAAAAGGCGGGGCAGGGGGAATCACACGAGGGTAGACTGAAGGCGGAGGTGGGGTGGGGACCGAGGTAGGGACATAGGGCATAGCAGGAGGTGCGACCACCTCCTCCTCCTCCTCCGCCTCCTCGAGAGTGATCGGGAAGAGTGAGGGAAGGGGCTCATAGGGCATCGAACGCCCCCCATGCTCCTGCTGATGCCAAGCCTTCCATCCTGCTAGGGACATGGTCTCATAGAACACAGCTTCCACAGTGGTGATGAGGCGGTTGGACTCCAAGTCCAGCACGGCCCAGCCCTTGCTCGCAGCTGACACACCCAAGTGCAACCCCCAGCGAGCCTTAGGCGCCAGCTTCCCCCCACGCTGCGACTGTGGTACCATGTACTGCAGCATGCAGCCCCAAACACGCACCATACTGACATCAGGTTTGCGTCGGAAGGCGAGCTCGTACGGCGTCACACCAGAGGGTAGTGAGGCGTGCTCCACGCGGTTGCGCACCCAGACGGCCTGAGCCAACGCCAGGTGCCACCAGTGATGCTGTACACCCATGTGCAGCAACATCGTCCGCACCGCCTCCACAATGCTGCGCATCTCCCTCTCGGCCATCCCGTTCTGCTCCGGCGTGTACGGGCATGTGAGGTCATGGAGGATGCCTTTACCGTCGAGGAAGAGCGTGAAGTCGTGCCCCAGGAACTCGCCACCCCGATCAGTGCGCAGCGCCTGCACCGTGGTCTTGCACTGTCGCTCTGCCATCGGGAGCCACTTCTGGAACGCCGCCAGCGCATCACTCTTCTGGGCCAAAGGGTAGGCCCAGACATATCGCGTCTTGCGATCCTTCAGCACCAAGAAGTAGCGGCTGCCGTCCTTAGCTGCTTCACGGAAAGGGCCACACAGGTCAGCATGCACCACCCCGAGCAACTCATCCTCCTCCTCTCCTACAGAAGGAAAGGTATGACGAGTGATCTTTCCCCCAACACAGGAGACACAAGGTATGCCTGACTTGCCCCCCTTCTCCAAATCCAAGCCCGTCACTGACCCGTGAGCCGCTGTGCGCTCGATGGCATCAATACCAACGTGTGCCATACGCGCATGCCACAGGTCCCCCTTAGACCGTACGCCCGTCGCCAAGGTACGAAGTGCCACCGTTTCGCCTTCCTGCTGCTGCGTCGAACACGGCTGGAAGTTCGTGCAGAGAACACGCCCCTTGAACTCCGCACGACCAAGGAGCGATCCATCTGGTGCCCGCAGCAAAGTCACATCCCCGGCATCCAGCAGCTGCACACCACTATCACGCAGCTGCCCAGCAGAGATAAGACTCGCCTGCACTCCTGGTACGTACAGCACGTCCGGCACCAAGACACGCCTGCCCCCCTCCCCAAGAAGAGCGACTGTGCCTCGCCCCTGCACCTCCTGAAGGGCACCGTTGAAGCCGGTAACCTGCTTAATGCTGCCGCCGCTGCTCATCTCCACAAAGGCAGAACGATCTCCCATGAGATGGTGGGAGCATCCGCTATCAAGCAGCACGACGCTCGGGTTCGCCTTCACAGCAGCTGCAACAGCCTGTAAGCCCTCCCCGGCCTCAGGCTCTAGCACAACGAGAGGAGTCTGCTCCACAACTGGCTTCACCATCGCACATGATGACTGCCCGCTCCCCTTAGAGCCATCACCCCCCTTTCCGCTGCTACCTCCAGAACCCTCTCCACCGGTGTCTGCCTCCTTATCCGCCCGCTGCTGACAGTACTTAGCAACATGCCCTATTTGCCCACACACATAGCACTTCCCCTTGAAGCCCCCTTCCCCCCCCTTCGGCTGGCCATCCTTACCCCCTTTCCACTTCTCCCCTCCCCCACCAAGCCCACCCCCATTCTTAGGCTGCTGCTGCTGTGCCGTAGTGGGAGGGGAAGGGAATGAAGTCTGCTGGAATTGGGGCTTACCCTTCTTGGTAAAGACCTGGTTAGCC